CGCAACAGGGAGGCGGAGAGTAAGTGGTGGTTACGCCCGGAGCCGGATCCGCCTCCGAGGCGGAATGCCCATCCGGCCCCTACCCTGTTATGTTTATGTGGCGCGGTCGGAGTCCGCACCTTTGGGGGGGGGTACTGTCACGCCCTGACTCAGGGGACTCGTATATGTTGAGTCAGGGTGTGTATGTTCTATGTTGTATATTTCTATGTTGAATTTCTAGTATGTCTATTTCTATGTTGGCCGGTGTGGTTCCCAATCAGAGGCAGCTGTCTCTCGTTGTCTCCGATTGGGGTCCATACTTAGGCAGCCTTTTGGCACCAGTTAGTTGTGGGATCTTGTTCCGTGTTAAGGTATGTTGTGTTGTGCTGCCTTGGACTTCACGTATCGTTTGTTTATTGTTTTGTCGTTGTGTTTATTCGTTAATAAACATGTATGCATATCACGCTGCGCCTTGGTCTGTCCCGTCCGTCAACGATCGTGACAACTTGTCTGTTTTTCAGGCTAAAGTGGCTTCCAAGAAGGAGCACATTCAGGTGGTTGACCGCCTCAATGCTGAAGTCACCCACTGAGGACACTCACTCACTGCTGAAGGCATCCAGAATGATGCTTATGTTTCTCCTCATCGCCCCCTACCCCCCTGCCCCCCCCCCCACCCCAATCCCTACCAGGGTTGGGGTTAATTCCATTTCAATTCAGTCAATTCAGGAAGAAAACTGAAATTCAAATTCACATTTTTTCTCATAGGAGGCAATGAGGAAAATTTGATTTGCTATTGGAACTTCAGTTTACTTCCTGAATTGACTGAATTGAAAATGAATTGACCCCAACCCTGATCCCTAACCCACATACCCCCACCCCATCCATTTCTATCTTCAGTACATTTTTTAGCATTTCATTTGAATGTGTTTTGTATCTTCGTTGAAACCACAATACATCTCTAATGAGGGTCACTCATGTTACACATCTAGATTGATCATAAAATCTCATAGAATTCAACCACAGATGCAGGGGTTTAGCAGTTCAACTTCAGTACTTGTCAATGAGTCACTGAACTGTGACCTTCAGAAACATGTAACAATGTGGAAAAACTGAAAACATTTGTTGACATTGTTCTGTTACAATGTAACTACACTGAACAAAAATATGAACGCAACATGTAAAGTGTTGGTCCCATGTTTCATGAGCTGAAATAACAAATCCCAGAAATTTTCCATACACACAAAAAGCGTATTTCTCTCAAATTTTGTGCACAAATTTGTTTGCATCCCTGTTAGTGAGCATTTCTCCTTTGCCAAGATAAACCATCCACCTGACAGGTGTGGCATATCAAGAAGATTAAACAGCATTGTCATGACTTGCCCTCATGGGTTGAGGATCAAACATGACGGCTAGGCAAAGGTTTGAACACCCCCTTTCCTGGGGGCCAGTTTTATGACCGGTCGTAAATACCATGCAGACTTTCTCTTTCTTGCCACGTATTGGGAGAAAGGACCCCTTTGTTAACAAAGGAAGTCTGCCCGCCAAAACTCCAACATGCACTCACTTACCGTAAGTCCCTCTGGATAAGAGAGTCTGCTAAATGACTAAAATGTAAATGTAAAAAAGTGGATAATGAAACAATATTCCTACTTAAAAGAATGTGGGAAATGGTTGGTGGGGACTTAAAGAACAGTCATGTCAAATTCGTTACTATGTTGTGATGTCATTAAAGACGGTGGAACAACATAGATGTATCTCTGGGGGGCTACACGAATGATTAAGTATAATAATACTTTTGTGAAGATAACAATGTGATTTTAGCATTCTAGATGAGATGATTGTTTTCCATATTGATTTGTTCTCAGTCAGTGGCCACGCCCAGATGAGCACAAACATGATGGAACGCTCCTTTTACCCCGAGTGCATAAAAAGCCTTGTGACGAAATTCACCTCAGACCAGCAGACATGAAGCGTGAGCCAAACGTTGCAAATGGTTGAATATGTACCAGACCAGCAAGCCCCAAGGCTTAAAATGGTTGAAACTCTTTAGACCAGCAGACGTGAAGCGTGAGCTAAATGTTGTAAAATGGTTGAATTTCTACAAGACCAGAAAGACCAGAAAACGTGAGACGTTAGTCCACACGTTTGAAATTGAGAAACTCTGAAACTCTTAACCTCTACACGAGGTGAAGAAGACAATGCACTAGACCTTATCATTTCAGTCTGCAGCTGGCATGTATAGTCGTCTAGAGAACATTCACTAAAGACACGAGAGGAGAGGACAATCCCTCTCAGACAACCGCTGGTACATCTGAAGTATCTATTCTAACCACTACTACAACCAGAAACTTTACCAATGACATTGGGATCTCTGGTGGGAAACCAGAGTCCTACATCATCAACTCAACTATCAAGGACAGCTACACGTAAATACATGTTGCATTTCTAATCCAAATGAGTGTTTAGTGAGGTTTTAAGCATTTGTATTGCCGTGTAGCATAGTTTCCAAAGTAACCCCGATAGTCTTAATCTCTGCCTCTCCCTTCCATTCTGACCCCTCCACTTTAAAAGAGGCCACTTTAAAATTAGCAGTTTTGTCACACAACACAATGCCACAGATGTCTGAAGTTTTGAGGGAGCGTGCAATTGGCATGCTGACTGCAGAAATCTCCACCAGAGCTGTTGCTAGAGAATTGAATGTTAATTTCTCTACCATAAACTGCCTCCAACGTCATTTTAGCAGTAGAATTTGGCAGTATGTCCAACTGCCCTCACAACCGCAGACCACGCCAGGGGCTGAGGAGTATTTCTGTCTGTAATAAAGCCCTTTTGTGGGGAAAAACTCATTCTGATTGGCTGGGCCTGGCTCCCCAGTAGGTGGGTCTGGCTGCCAAGTGGGTGGGCCTATGCCCTCCAAAGCCCACCATGGCTGTACCCCTGTCCAGTCATGTGAAAGGCCTAATGAAATTATTTCAATTGACTGATTTCCTTATATGAACTGCAACTCAGTAAAATCTTTGAAATTGTTGCATGTTGCATTTATATTTTTGTTGAGTATACAATCAGTTCAGTATCAATCACATTTTCTTGAGAATTACATGCATTCTTGCTTATAACCTCTAGAATAGGAAATCAAAACAGACTACACATAATATATTAAAGGAATGATAAAGGGCTTTATTCAACATATCTGTGGCCCCTGAAGTCCTGGCGCACATTTTAATTTACAAGGTTTATTTACACATTTAGACATTTTCACTGAGGACAATCTCAGTATTTGATGTTTGCCGAGACAATGAAGCAGAGACAATGAAGCAGAGACAATAAAAAAACAAAAAAACAGAACAAACGAAACAAAAACAAAGTCCCCACATCACATGACATGACACATGATATGACACATGACCGAAGAACCATATAGGTGCGTTTATCCTAATCAGATGCTTACTGATTTTGTTTGTTATTATAAGTTCACTGTAATGTCCAGAGTTCTAAACTGACATGGAAATGTACAGTGCCTTGCAAAAGTATTCATCCCCCTTGGCGTTTTTCCTATTTTGTTGCATTACAACCTGTAATTTAAATGGATTTTTATTTGGATTTCATGTAATGGACATACACAAAATAGTCCAAATTGGTGAAGTGAAATGAAAAAAATAACTTGTTTAAAAAAATTCAAAAAAATAAATAAAGGAAAAGTGGTGCGTGCATATGTATTTACCCCCTTTGCTATGAAGCCCCTAAATAAGATCTGGTGCAACCAATTACCTTCAGAAGTCACATAATCCACCTGTGTGCAATCTAAGTGTCACATGATCTGTCACATGATCTCAGTATATATACACCTGTTCTGAAAGGCCCCAGAGTCTGCAACACCACTAAGCAAAGGGCACCACCAAGCAAGCGGCACCATGAAGACCAAGGAGCTCTCCAAACAGGTCAGGGACAAAGTTGTGGAGAAGTACAGATCAGGGTTGGGTTATAAAAAAATATCTGAAACTTTGAACATCCCACGGAGCACCATTAAATCCATTATTAAAAAATGGAAAGAATATGGCACCACAACAAACCTGCCAAGAGAAGGCCGCCCACCAAAACCCACGGACCAGGCAAGGAGGGCATTAATCAGAGAGGCAACAAAGAGACCAAAGATAACCCTGAAGGAGCTGCAAAGCTCCACAGCGGAGATTGGAGTATCTGTCCATAGGACCACCTTAAGCCGTACACTCCATACAGCTGGGCTTTACAGAAGAGTGGCCAGAAAAAAGCCATTGCTTAAAGAAAAAAATAAGCAAACCCGTTTGGTGTTCGCCAAAAGGCATTTGGGAGACTCCCCAAACATATGGAAGAAGGTACTCTGGTCAGATGAGACTAAAATTGAGCTATGTCTGGCGCAAACCCAACACCTCTCATCACCCCGAGAATACCATCCCCCACAGTGAAGCATGATGGTAGCAGCATCATGCTGTGGGGATGCTTTTCATCGGCAGGGACTGGGAAACTGGTCAGAATTGAAGGAATGATGGATGGCGCTAAATACAGGGAAATTCTTGAGGGAAACCTGTTTCAGTCTTCCAGAGATTTGAGACTGGGACGGAGGTTCACCTTCCAGCAGGACAATGACCCTAAGCATACTGCTAAAGCAACACTCGAGTGGTTTAAGGGGAAACATTTAAATGTCTTGGAATGGCCTAGTCAGAGCCCAGACCTCAATCCAATTGAGAATCTGTGGTATGACTTAAAGATTGCTGTACACCAGCAGAACCTATCCAACTTGAAGGAGCTGGAGCAGTTTTGCCTTGAAGAATGGGCAAAAATCCCAGTGGCTAGATGTGCCAAGTTTATAGAGACATACCCCAAGAGACTTGCAGCTGTAATTGCTGCAAAAGGTGGCTCTACAAAGTATTGACTTGGGTGGGGGGGTGAATAGTTATGCATGCTCAAGTTCAGTTTTTTGTCTTATTTCTTGTTTGAATCACCCCCAAAAATATTTTGCTTCGATTTTAATTCCAGGTTGTAAGGCAACAAAATAGGAAAAATGCCATTCGCAGTGAATACTTTCGCAAGTCTCTGGTACATGTTGTCTACTAGTCTGTATGTGATAGCTCTCCGTCCAAAGTGTTGATATGGTTTTTCGGTTGAAGGGTTCATGTGTGTAATTAGGCCTACTGTATGGGGATAACAAAAAGTACATATGAATAGGGGGTTTAAGCATTTGTAGACTGACAGCCTATGAACACAAATAAAAACACAAATCAACGCAGGCTTATAAATACTAATAAAAACATAGGCTGCATAATACTGAAAACTTTTGTCAAACAATAAAGGAAGATTGTCTATGTGCTTTTTGAAAACAACAACCTATTCCCTAAAAGTACCTTTTATTTACATCTTAATTTGGACTAAATATACAAATCTGTACATTAGAGAAACAAGTATAGTATGTGCATGTGTCTTCGTATGTTTTCAGTTAATCTTATCATTATATACAGTCTATTATCTCATCCCAAAAACAGAGATCTTATAATACTGTATAACACAACGATATAATGACTAGGACTGCGTGCCTAAAACAAAAACATCACTACTTAAAAAGCACCTATAGGGAGAAGAACAGCTATTGCATCAACACAATAGCAAATCATTCTGATGTTTGCTTCTCTTTTAAGCAATGTTGGTACTACGTTGGTAATGGTTGGTACTGACATTCACAACTACCTGTTTCTATTGCAGAACTCAATACAGGACCGTTTACATGCAACTACAAACTGCTTGTCATCAGCAATCAGCACTGAGTGATTTCCACAGTATCACTCTCACAGTCCTCATGTCCTCCATTTTGGCTCTGTACATTCTCCATGTGTCCCAGTGCCGTGCCGTTAGTAGACTCCTGCCTCGGGGGAGGGCAACTGACGTTACGCACCAGATCTGGGTTCAGACAGAGGAAAGTCTGGTTCTTATCATTATTATTGCTGTTGTTACTGGTAGTGGTGGTGACTACCGACTCGCTAAAGATAGTGTCTGAGAAGACAGAGTCTAGGTTGAACGGGCTGCCGCCGAAGAGGGATTCCTGGCAGGTGGATTTGGCTATCGCTGGGTCTCTGGGGGGTTTGCTTGGTGGTGGTGGTTGATTAGCAGTGTCTGGTTCTTCTGGATTGTTCTGCTTGTTCTGATACGGATTAACCGTGTCCGTCTCCTGAATCGGGCTCCCATCAGATTCCATGATAGTTAAGGGATCTGTTTTCACCATCACCCTACAGTCACTGTTGACACTGGATCGTCGAGAGGAACCCTCAGCTGTTGAGATGACGCTACTAGCCCGGGGTAGAGAGGTAGGAGACCGTGGCCCTCTTAGACGCGCCTCCTTCCCCAACGGGGAGGAGAAGCAGTTGAGACACCCAGAAATTGAGGAAGATTTACCCTGGACGCAGAGCACCGTGATTGGGGACATGGCTGAGGCTCGGGTGGTGGTGGTCTCTGGAGCTTTGTTCAGACCTGATCCAGATCGAGGTAGTACGGCAACCTGCCCCTGAGCTGTTTTGGGGACATTCCCATCGGAGGGGCGCTGGGGGGCTCTGCTGCCACTGGCGCACCTCCTGAGGACACTCCTTCTGGGCCAGGGGTCTTGGGTGCTACCCACCTCCCTGCCCCTACAGGGAACTGAACCCTGGGTGTTTGCTATGGCAATAGGTGAGGAGTTATTTACTCCTACCCTCTCCTTGTGTTTGTTGCTGCTGGTGTGTGTTAAGGAAGTGGATCGCTGCTGTGTGTGTGTGTTTGGCGAGGGGTTCTCCTGTGTGTGTGTGTTCGGCGAGGGGTTCTGCTGTGTGTGTCGGGGGGTAGAGGTATCGCTAGGCGGGAGGCAGGAAGAAGAGGAGCGGCGTGATGACGGAGGCGGCTGGACCGGGCTACTGCCGTTGGACCAGGGTTCGTTGTCTTGGCTGAGGCTGAACTCTCCGCTGCTCTGGCTCTGGGCACGGCTCGGCACGCCATTCAGACCTGGGGGAACCGTGGATGGGGAGAAAGTCCCTTTAGGTTACATTAACAACAGGCTACACTCTTGGTTACAACTGTCCGGAAAATGTATACATTTTCACAATGTACTATAAACACTTCTTATGTAACATTGCATTGACTACAATACAAGCTAGTAAATGCATTTTATATAATTATTTCTGCCTATAGAGGGCAGTATTATCAAGTTGTTCAGACTGATGCCTACTTTGAGCAAAATAAGAGATTAACTTGAAAAAAGGCCATGTTAACAGTTATATTGATTTATTCTTCATTTTAATTCCTTATACATCTGTATACATGACCTGCATCCCAAATGACATCCTATTCTCTACATAGGGCTCTGGTCAAAAGTAGTGCACAGTGTAGGGAATAGGGTGCCATTTGGGGACTCATGAGTTAGTGGGGTGTTGTTCACCGTGGCTTTGTAGTTCATCACCGTCATCAAAGCCAGCTGCCACAGCACTGTCATTAGAATCCTTGTCTGTGGAACACAAAATGGCAGGGGACAGAAAATGAGACAACACTGTATGGGTTTCCAGGAGTGAGGCGGTGTTGCGGTCAAACTGGTCAGGTTAAAAGCAAGAGAAGCATATGGGAAGTGGTAGTGTTCATTCAAACAAACTCAATTGCAGATGCATGAAGCAACACATCCCTATAGAGACGTTGTAGCTCAAGCCCCTTAGCAAATGTACCCTTGTAGCATGATTCTTAAAACTACAGCAAAGGAGTTCATAGCAGATAGCTCATGAAGATGGCTAATGGGAGGATGTAATATGGCTGGTGGAATGACTCTACCTGTCAAACATAGCTCAGTGCTATCAGTGGCAGCGGCAGTGGCAGTGGGGAGATAAACCAATGGAGTGGTGGTGGGCTGGTGTTGATGGTTGATGATGGACAAGATGGAGTCGCTCATGGATGAGGTCATAGACTCCTTCCTGGATCTGTCATTCTTGACCTCTGACCCCTCTAGCTGCTCAGGGTCCTCAGACAGGGTTGAGGGGTACACCAAGTCATCCAGTTTGTCCAGGTCATTCAGGGCTGGGGGTGGAGGTGGAGAGAGATGACTTGAGTTGCCTCTGGTAATGGGGAAGTCCTATAATTTTTTATTTTCTTAATATTTTTCTTAATTTCTTTTTTTCCCTTCCTGTCTTTCATTCAAAGGAGAGAAGATTCTACACAGTCTTCCTGCCTTCCAGCAATCTGGTCCTGAGAAACTAGAGCATTATGCAGCACCAGTGTTCTGCAATGCAGTATTCCCCTGACCTCTTGGGTAACTCTACAGAACTGAATAGAGAACAATAGAGTGAAAATATCTATTGTGTCGGATGCTTATGAGAACGGCGAGAAAGAGTGGGTATGGTTATCAAAATTGCAATATATAGCAAAATTATGGCTGAACTCAATTATAGGAATGTTGCCAAGCTGCACACTCTGCAGAATTTTACACAGAATTCCAAGAGTATTGTCTAGAAGGATTTCTGCTGCATTCATTAAGACAATGGTAGACTAAAGAATAAGGTAAAGCATAGTTCACTAGCCTGGGTCCCAGATCAGTTTGTGCTGTCTTGCCAACTTCTTACGGAATTGTCAATCCTAAGAAGTTGGCAAGACAGCACAAACAGATCTGGGACCCAGGCTAATAGTTCGCTAATGATGAGAAAATAGGCAGGTTGCAGCCAAGATGAGGTAGTCACTAGACATCGATCCATCATGTTTCTTACACATGGAACGACGGAAGAGGGACTTGACTTTGTCCTTATCCTTCAGTCTGTTCCTCATAAGGGGAAAGATTTTCAGAGTGGATACTTTACAGTGTGGGACAACAAGGGACAGGGGAGGGAGAAACAGGGGAGGATGAATGGAGGGGAACGGAGAGAACACGTTAACACACACACACACACACACACACACACACAATACATACAGTCGTGGTCAAAAGTTTTGAGAGTATTGTTCTTCACAAAGTTCGCTGCTTCAGTGTTATGAGATATTTTTGTCAGATGTTACTATGGTATACTGAAGTATAATTACAAGCATTCCATAAGTGTCAAAGGCTTTGATTGACAATTACATTAAGTTTATGCAAAGAGTCAATATTTGCAGTGTTGACCCTTCTTTTTCAAGACCTCTGCAATCCGCCCTGGCATGCTGTCAATTAACTTCTGGGCCACATCCTGACTGATGGCAGCCCATTCTTGCATAATCAATGCTTGGAGTTTGTCAGAATTTGTGGGTTTTTCTTTGTCCACCCGCCTCTTGAGGATCGACCACAAGTTCTCAATGGGATTAAGGTCTGGGGAGTTTCCTGGCCATGGACCCAAAATGTTGATGTTTTGTTCCCTGATACACTTAGTTATCACTTTTGCCTTATGGCAAGGTGCTCCATCATGCTGGAAAAGGCATTGGTTGTCACCAAACTGTTCTTGGATGGTTGGGAGAAGTTGCTCTCGGAGGATGTGTTGGTACCATTCTTTATTCATGGCTGTGTTCTTAGGCAAAATTGTGAGTGAGTCCACTCCCTTGGCTGAGAAGCAACCCCACACATGAATGGTCTCAGGATGCTTTACTGTTGGCATGACACAGGACTGATGGTAGCGCTCACCTTGTCTTCTCCGGACAAGGTGTTTTCCGGATGCCCCAAACAATCGGAAAGGGGATTCATCAGAGAAAATGACTTTACCCCAGTCCTCAGCAGTCCAATACTTGTACCTTTTGCAGAATATCAGTCTGTCCCTGATGTTTTTCCTGGAGAGAAGTGGCTTCTTTGCTGCCCTTCTTGACACTAGGCCATCCTCCAAAAGTCTTCGCCTCACTGTGCGTGCAGATGCACACACACCTGCCTGCTGCCATTCCTGAGCAAGCTCTGCACTGGTGGTGCCCCGATCCCGCAGCTGAATCAACTTTAGGAGACGGTCCTGGCGCTTGCTGGACTTTCTTGGGCGCCCTGACGCCTTCTTCACAACAATTGAACCTCTCTCCTTGAAGTTCTTGATGATCAGATAAATGGTTGATTTAGGTGCAATCTTACTAGAAGCAATATCCTTGCCTGTGAAGCCCTTTTTGTGCAAAGCAATGATGACGGCACGTGTTTCCTTGCAGGTAACCATGGTTAACAGAGGAAGAACAATGATTTCAAGCACCACCCTCCTTTTAAAGCTTCCAGTCTGTTATTCTAACTCAATCAGCATGACAAAGTGATCTCCAGCCTTGTCCTCGTCAACACTCTCACCTGTGTTAACGAGAGAATCACTGACATGATGGCAGCTGGTGGCAGGGCTGAAATGCAGTGGAAATGTTCATTTTCATGGCAAAGAGGGACTTTGCAATGAATTGCAATTCATCGGATCACTCTTCATGACATTCTGGAGTATATGCAAATTGCCATCATCAAAACTGAGGCAGCAGAGTTTGTGAAAATTAGTATTTGTGTCATTCTCAAAACTTTTGACCACGACTGTACATGGGGATAGACAGAAATAGACAAAACACGAGTTTAGCCTTATTGAGGGAAGGATCCACATACATGCAGACATATCCATAGTGCAACACGATGTAACAACTGTTTCTGCATGCACTGTCTGTCATAGAAACCCACTTATACTGTACAGCCCTCAAACTCAACTCTGGACCTTGAAGCCAGTTCCACTGCATTTTTAATTGTTCCCTTCTAATCAGGGACTGAATTAGACCTGGGACACCAGGTGTGTGCAATTAATTATCAGGTAGAACAGAAAACCAGCAGGCTCCGGACCTCGTAGGGTAAGAGTTGAGTACCCCTGCTATACAGGATACATACAGACAGAGCAGCCCTACATTTTACCACTTCAAAAGTCAAGTGTGTATGAAGATTTGCTACCCAGGAGACTCCTATACAATGGCACAGCAACAGATGAGCTTTCACCAGATCATTTTTTTATTCCTTCTCATAGATCTCGGTGTGAAGAGCCTGGGAGGCGTGTCTATCTTGATACAGATAGGAGGAGTCTGTCTTGTAGGGCCGTTCAATAAAGATGTAGCAATTGAGTGACTTCTGTCTCCCTGTCCAATCGGTGGCAGATGTGGGAGGGCCCTGCAGTAACTGGCTCCGCCCATATCTTTCTGTTCTATCCCTGATGTCCGTGGCGGGGGGAGGGGCCTAGCTGTCGCTCTCTCTTCTTGACCTATGGCTCATAGCGGAGCGGGGGGGCCTGCGGTGATGGTGGAGCGTGATTGGACAGCCCTTTTCTGCCTGGCCTATCAGGGCTCTCAGACTGGACCAACGAGAGGGGTTAAGGAGGTCATACTCACTGCTGCTCCTCCGGGGGGAGGTGGTGGACCCACCCGAGCCGTCCGAACCCACGAAGGAGCCGTTGTCCTGGCAACAGGAAGCAGAGGGGGAGGTGGGCGGGAGGGCCTCGAAGGAGCCGGAGCGTGTGGGGCTGAGGGAGCGGTGGTGGTCAGAGGAGGAGGCGGGGCCACAACGCTCGCGGCTCTTCGGCTTCATCAGCTTCCTCATCTTCAGGGCGATCCAGTTCCCACGCCTCGGGAAATATAATATATATGTTAAAATCGATATAGAATAGGATAAACGTTATTGTCCCTGATGGGAAAATTGTCTTAAAAATAAACAGGTAAAACTAACTAATACTTTATCAAAACGAATGAATCTTGTCACTTTGACAAGATTCAATTGATTCCTCTCCAAATGGCACTGTACCTCCGTGGGGGTGAGGGGTCATAGAACTTATACTGATCCATGATCTTCTCCTCCAACTTCTCCTTCTGTCTCCTCAGCTCATTCAGCTTGTCTCTGAGAGAGAGGAGAGAGAGAAAAACACCATGTTTCACACAGAGAGGTAACATCAACAGAAGAGGTGTCGCTGCTGCAAAGATGGCTGGTATGTTTACATCTTAGAATAAACCCTGACTGAACTGTCTCAATGTCCGACCCGGCACCTTTAAACACCATCAAACCCCAAGGTCGTATTTATTAGGCACCAAATGGAAGAAAATGGACTGAAACAGGGAGGGACTACATGTACTCATCCAATAAGAAACTCTCATTTCTGTTTTCCGTTGCAAAGCGATTTCCATTGCATGCCGCAATGAATACGACCCAGGTGAAAAGAATGTGAATGTTATATTTCCTTACTTTCATACATATTACACATAGCTTAGTATGCCCCATATGTCCAGAAGATAAACTCAAAATGGGGGAGATTTATTCAATATAGGCCAATGTTGACACTTACAGAGATGGAGAGGATTTATTTTAGGTCAGTCAACTTTTTTTCTAAACTGGCACTACAGATGGCAGACTACATCAATAATCCACAACCCCGCTGCACTCCATCAGTGCAGAGCATGCTCTGTCAAACTCAGAGGCCCAGTGGTTTTGGTGCTCTAAATATGATGGGATGCACTGTGTTTTTGGTGCAATGGTGCTCTATAGCTAAAACAATGGCTTTTGTTTTGTGCTGATCTGGAATGCCTTGTGTCCTATGTGAAGCCCATTGTTTCACCATAATGTGAATACATTCCATAAGTCTATCATTATGAGAAGTACTATACTGTGGGTGTAGCTACCATTGTACTAAATATGTTCTTATATACTGTAGATATACTGTACAGCTGGTGGAAAATCAATTCTATATGGTTCAATTAACTTCAATTCAGTCCATTAACTGCAAGTTGGATTGCAAGGGGTTAAAGCCCTATGACTTGGCACTCAGAGAGATAGGTGGGTTTCATACATGTGCTGTCTCTGTTCTACGTGGAACAGGTCTTTGCTCTCCATGGTCTGTTCTAGCAGGGTGCGGTTCTGCAGCATCAGGGTCTGGATCTGGTCCAGCAGGTGACGGTTCTCCTCCTTCAGGTTCCCCTTCAACTGACTCAACAGCTAGACACAATCACACATATTATATGTCAATGACTTTTCTAATGATATAATTACTACAACACATAAACCTGGCACAAAACTGCTTTGAGAGCAAATACAAATGTGTATATCATCACATGGCCTCTTTGTATAGTGCTTGGGGAATACAAATCCAATTACTTTGCTAGCAATGCTGTAACGACCCTGGGTTTATAAGGGTGGAGATCGACTTTGCCACATGAGCATGCTTTTGTGGCACAGTCGATGGCGCGCTGGGCTTCGGGACAGAAGGTTGAGGGTTCGAGCCGCACTCCCTTCCTGTTTCATTACATTGGTGTCAGAAGTGATCGGACCTTGCATCCACGAACGTAAGTGTGCTTGGCCGGTAGCGCGTTCCTGTAAGACGTTGAGGCGTAGGCTAGGGCGAGGACGTGCATTTTGAAAGGAGAGAGTTGTGTAACGACCCTGGGTTGATAAGAGCGGATATTGACTCTTCCACATGAGGATGCTTTTGTGGCCCAGTCGATGGCTCGCTGGGATTCAGGCCTGAGGGTACGAGCCTCATTTCATTAAAATACGATCAAAAACAGCTTTATTACAACTGTACAGATTATTAGAATTTTGCTAAAGTTTTGACTGATTTAAAATGGGTGCTTTTAGGTAAACATATTTTTAATTATAACTAAAATGAACCTGGATGGTGAACGTATTATTATAAACTGGGTGGTTCGAGCCCTGAATGCTGATTGGCTGACAGCCGTGGTATATCAGACCGTATACCATGGGTATGACAAAACATTTATTTTTACTGCTGTAATTACGTTGGTAACCAGTTTTTAATAGCAATAAGGCACATTTACATTGACATTTTAGTCATTTAGCACCTCAGGGGTTTGTGGTATATGGCCAATATACCATGGCTAAGGTCTGTATCCAGGCACTCCGTGTTGCGTCGTGCGTAAGAACAGCCCTTAGCCGTGGTATATTGGCCATATACCACACCTCCTCGTGCCTTATTGGTTAAGTATATCCTTCATACCTCACACTGGTTGGTGAGCTTGGTGTTGGTGATGTCTAGCTGTTGGTACTGCTCTCTGAGCTTGTTGAAGTTGGACTCTTGCTTGGTCTGCTCCAGCTTGGTGCTGTTCAGCAGGGTCTTCATGTTCTTATGGTCCGCCTGAAGCTCCTCCTGATCCTTCAACAGCTGACGGTACGTCTTGTTCAGCCTGGGGCACGTAGAAATATTCATAGAAGAAACACTGATAAAGTAAATCAAAAACATATTTATAAAAACACTTATACAAGCAATGTCTCTGAACTCTAGGTCAAAGATATCATCCTGAAACTCTCTTTATTGTGAGCTTATGTGTGTAGTGAGCTATGCTGTGTGGGAGTCTTTGTGATCTGTAGGAGATGCTGTGTGTGTGTGTGTGTGTGTGTGTGTGTGTTATGCTACATGTGCCCCTCACCACTCCTTCTCATCCCGGAGCTGTCGACACTCTGAGGCGGTGGTCCTGTGCTGCTCCTTCTCCACAGCCATCTTGTTCTCCTCCTCTCTCAGAGCCTTCTCCAGACCCTCTAGAGTGGCCTTCTGCTGCAGCAGGGTTTTGTACCTACAGCAACACACCATTGTGGTTATTTAGAGAGCTTTCCCCTCAGTTGCTGTTTTTTGTTGTTGCATGGATGGGAAATGAGTGTCACAGCCGTTGATGAGTGTCTTTGATAGAAAAAGAAATGGGTAGGACGGATATTGTCACGTCTACTCCTTCTCCTCCCTTCCGGCGTGCGGCGTCGCCGGGAATACTAACCACCGGTCCTGGCATCCATCATTACGCACACCTGGCATCCATCATTACGCACACCTGGCATCCATCATTACGCACACCTGGCATCCATCATTACGCACACCTGGCATCCATCATTACGCACACCTGGCATCCATCATTATGCGCTCCTGCAGATCATTATCATTCACACCTGGACTACATTACCTTCCTCATTACCTCTCCTTTATATGTCCCTCCCTTACGTTTAGTCCTCAGTCGGTATTGTTCCTGTGTGTATGCTATATCGCCACTGTTACACTGTCTCCTTTCATGTTTTATTAAACGTTTCACCTGCACCTGCTTCTCGACTCACAGCGTCATTGGTACAGATATACTGCAGTTCTAAGATCCACTTGACTTTGTGGCACAACAGATATCCTCATTGTTGCACGCGAACATAACTAAAAAATACTTTTATGTTGAGAGGTGGAATTTAAGCAACCATTAATCAAGCATTCATATTGTATATCATGAACCATTACTTAGAACCAGAATGGTCTCTGGTCCCCCTCCTTTACCTGTCTTCCAGCGTTCTATGCTCCAGCTCCAGTGTGCGGTGGACGTTCTTCAGACAGCCGTGTTTTCCCATCAGGGCCTCGTACTCTATGGCTTGTCTCTCGTGCAACGCCGCCAGCCTCTCGTGGTCCCTCAGGAGCTGGTCGTGCACGCCACGCAGCTCCTCGCGCTCACGCATGGCCACCTCCTTATCGCCCTCAGTGCTGGATTGTTGGCATTGGAGCTGGGCGTTCTGGGCCAGGAGTGATGCACTCTGGGAGTTCAGAGTGGACTTCTCCACCTGTGGATGGATAGGCGTGGAGATTATTATTATGTAATTCAAAGGTATGAGTTTATACTGTATAAGATTAAATACTACTCATACCATGTATGAATGGACTCTATAGGAAGTGGGTTAGTCCTAGGTATAAAAACAAGATGAATCCAATGCAGAATGGATATCTGCACACAGATTTCACTTCAAAATAAAAGTATTCACTTCAAAATAAAAGTTTTTGGAAGTACTAAATCAGTGTGTGGGTATTTCTGTATTATGAGTATCTTATCAGTATACTAGGAGTATATTAGTATATCAGGTCTTGTTGCTCCTCTGACCTGCAGGTTAGCGTTGTGTGTCTGCAGAGCCGTGTTGTTCTCCTGCAGGGAGGCGGTCTGTCTCTGCAGGGCCAGGATCTGAGCCTGCAGGCCGTCTGACTGGGTCTCCAACTGTCTGAGCTGGGCCTGCAGCGCCTGACGCTCTGCCTGCAGTGTGGCATTCTGCAGTAGGGGAGGGAGGAAGAAGTCAATAATACATTGACAAAATGTGACGCTGGTGTTGATCTATAGTAAGAGAGTCTGGTTGAGATGGACAACATTTGGCAATGTAATGTAATGAAGTAATGAAGCATCTGCTAAATGACTAAAATGTAAATGTAATGTAGGTTTGATTTGTATCATCCAATAGTCATTATTTGGAGGACTTTACACAAAGAAGCACAAGCATTTCGCTACACCCGCTATAACATCTGCTAAACACGTGTATGTGACAAATACAATTTGATTTGATTTGATTTTGATTATAGTAAGAGAGTCTGGTTGAGATGGACAACATTTGGCAATGTAATGTAATGAAGTAATGAAGCATCTGCTAAATGACTAAAATGTAAATGTAATGTAGGTTTGATTTGTATCATCCAATAGTCATTATTTGGAGGACTTTACACAAAGTCAGATGCATTTCAGAAAATATTAAAATTGAAATAAGAGCATCAGTGCTTAGTTACAACATGATGACACAAAGTTCTCCACTCACGTTCCTCTCCACCTCGATGAGGCGGTCCTTGACCCTCAGCAGCTCCCTGGTGGCCTCCTGGCTTTCCCGCTGCCATTCGCTTACCGCCATGTCACTCTCCCTCTGGGGGGTGGGGCTACGGGCCGCATGCTCCTCCTCCTCCCTCTGCAGCAGGGCCTCGTAGTTCAGACGCACCTGTAGGGGGTCAAGATCAAAGGTCAGATATCGCCACTGAGTGAAGTCATTTTTAAACTTCAAACTTCAATACACTTTGACAAAGAACGCCAATGTAAAAGTGAATGAATGTAGAAAAGGTATAGTTTCCATTCGAAACTGAAGAACTTTAGGCCAGACTCACAGTCTTGAGCTCTTGACGTAGCTGCTGGTTGAGGGTGGAGGACTCCTGCAGCCGGGCCTCCACGGCAGCCATCTTGTCTTCTTTGATCTGTAGGGACCTCTTCAGAGATGACTCCAGCTCAGACTCCAACATCTTGAACCTACTGGGGAGAGGGAAAGAAAAGAAAGGGGGATTTAGAACAATATATGGAGAAATACAAGTTGACTAATTTCTCTGTATTTTGATTGGTTTTTTACAAGTCACTGATTGATGAATTGATTTCCTTGAAAAATAACTCACCAGTCTATTGTCATGTTTATAACGCAGTCATTCACAAACTTAATTCAAGATATGTGTAACTATCATCTATCCTGGTTTTTGGGGTGTAGACTAAATCAGTTGCATGAACCTCGCTGTGTCCAGTTTTTACCTGTTATCTGGAGTTTCCTCGTCACTCTGTGGTGATGTGTCCTGGTTGAGGACTCTCATCTCCAGCTCGTGGGCCAGCCTCTCCAGCTCATTTTCCCTCTGCTGGGTCTTCAGCTTGTCACTCACCAACTCCTACAGAGGAAAGACGGTCAGAAATATCAGTTTTTTGTATCATAACAACATATTTCAGTTCAGTGATTTCTCTTGCAGCCATGTAAAGCTATTGTGACCAATTACCTATTTATCAATTACCTCTTTATCAGAGAGCTGATAAATCAAAGTAATTTATATATATATATATATATATATATATATATATATATATATATATATATATGCATGATATGTGATCTAAATCTCCATGACTTCAAGCTAGCTTAACTTTATCTTTCCATAAGGAAGCTTACAAATCTGTCATGTCAGGCACACTGAAAAACATGAATATCACAAATAAGAAGCTAATGCTGATCTGAGTAGCTTCACCTCTCTCAGGGTGACCAGGGCCCTCTGGTTGATCGCTCCCTGCTTGGCCAGCTCTCTGTTATCCCTCTCCAGCCCCTTGACCCTCTCCTCCACCTCCTTCAGCCTCTCCACCTCCTTCCCCATCTCCCTGTTACGATATAATAGAAATATAAGCCATTTAGCAGATGCTTTTATCCAAAGCGACTTATATTACAGTGAGGGCATACATTTTTGTATATTGTATTGTATATGAGTGCATACATTTTTTATACATGTGATCCCAGCAGGAATCAAACCCACAACCCTGACGCTGCTAGCACCATGATCATACTATGGTGACCATTAGCATCATACCTGTTCTCTCTCTCCAGACTAGCCACCCTCAGGTTGCTCCCATCCAGGGTAGAGTCCTGGATCTCTGCCTGTTGCCTCAGCCTGCGGTTCTCCTTCTCCAGCCTCCTCTTGTCTCTCTCCAGGCCTGAAGCCTCCTGCTCCAGGGTCTGCTTCTCCTGCTCCAGCTGCTCCATGCGCCGCGAGGAGATCCTCAGCTCCTCCAACCCAGCCTGCAGGCTCTGGTTCTCAGCCTCCAGCTCGTGGACCTCGGCCTCCAGCCGCTGGAGCTTCCGGCCTGGGGGTGAGTGAAAGGATGGATGGGTGGGTGGGGTGGATGGATGGATGAAAGGTTGGTTGGATAAAAAAAACAATATACACTACCGTTCAAAAGTTTGGGGTCACTTAGAAATGTCTTTGTTTTCGAAAGAAAATGATTTTATTTGTCCATTAAAATAACATCAAATTGATCAGAAATACAGTGTATTTACAGTTTATTAAATAGTACCCGCAAAACACCAGTCTCAACGTCAACAGTGAAGAGGCGACTCCGGGATGCTGACCTTCTAGGCAGAGACTGGTGTTTTGCGGGTACTATTTAATGAAGCTGCCAGTTGAAGACCTGTGAGGCGTCTGTTTCTCAAACTAGACACTCTAATGTATTTGTCCTCTTGCTTAGTTGTGCACCGGGGCCTCCCACTCCTCTTTCTATTCTGGTTAGAGACAGTTTGAGCTGTTCTGTGAAGGGAGTAGTACACAGCGTTGTACGAGATCTTCAGTTTCTTGGCAATTTCTCACATGGATAGCCTTCATTTCTCAGAACAAGAATAGACTGACGAGTTTCAGAAGAAGGTTCTTTGTTTCTGGCCATTTTGAGCCTGTAATCGAACCCACAATTGCTGATGCTCCAGATACTCAACTAGTCTCAAGAAGGCCAGTTTTATTGCTTCTTTAATCAGCACAACAGTTTTCAGCTGTGCTAACATAATTGCAAAAGGGTTTTCTAATGATCAATTAGCCTTTTAAAATGATAAACTAGGATTAGCAAACACAACGTGCCATTGGAACACAGGACTGATGGTTGCTGATAATGGGCCTCTGTACGCCTATGTAGATATTCCATAAAAAATCAGCCGTTTCCAGCTACAATAGCCATTTACAACATTAACAATGTCTACACTGTATTTCTGATCAATTTGATGTTATTTTAATGGACCAAAAAAATAATTTTCTTTCGAAAACAAGGACATTTCTAAGTGACCCCAAACTTTGGAACTATAGTATATATATAGTGGGGAGAACAAGTATTTGATACACTGCCGATTTTGCAGGTTTTCCTACTTACAAAGCATGTAGAGGTCTGTAATTTTTATCATAGGTACACTTCAACTGTGAGAGACGGAATCTAAAACAAAAATCCAGAAAATCACATTGTATGATTTTTAAGTAATTCATTTGCATTTTATTGCATGACATAAGTATTTGATCACCTACCAACCAGTAAGAATTCCGGCTCTCACAGACCTGTTAGTTTTTCTTTAAGAAGCACTCCTGTTCTCCACTCATTACCTGTATTAACTGCACCTGTTTGAACTCATTACCTGTATAAAAGACACCTGTCCACACACTCAATCAAACAGACTCCAACCTCTCCACAATGGTCAAGACCAGAGAGCTGTGTAAGGACATCAGGGATAAAATTGTAGACCTGCACAAGGCTGGGATGGGCTACAGGACAATAGGCAAGCAGCTTGGTGAGAAGGCAACAACTGTTGGCGCAATTATTAGAAAATGGAAGAAGTTCAAGATGACGGTCAATCATCCTCGTTCTGGGGCTCCATGCAAGATCTCATCTCGTGGGGCATCAATGATCATGAGGAAGGTGAGGGATCAGCCCAGAACTACACGGCAGGACCTGGTCAATGACCTGAAGAGAGCTGGGACCACAGTCTCAAAGAAAACCATTAGTAACACACTACGCCGTCATGGGTTAAAATCCTGCAGCGCACGCAAGGTCCCCCTGCTCAAGCCAGCGCATGTCCAGGCCCGTCTGAAGTTTGCCAATGACCATCTGGATGATCCAGAGGAGGAATGGGAGAAGGTCATGTGGTCTGATGAGACAAAAATAGAGCTTTTTGGTCTAAATTCCACTCGCCGTGTTTGGAGGAAGAAGAAGGATGAGTACAACTCCAAGAACACCATCCCAACCGTGAAGCATGGAGGTGGAAACATCATTCTTTGGGGATGCTTCTCTGCAAAGGGGACAGGACGACTGCACCGTATTGAGGGGAGGATGGATGGGGTCATGTATCGCGAGATCTTGGCCAACAACCTCCTTCCCTCAGTAAGAGCATTGAAGATGGGTCGTGGCTGGGTCTTCCAGCATGACAACGACCCGAAACACACAGCCAGGGCAACTAAAGAGTGGCTCCGTAAGAAGCATCTCAAGGTCCTGGAGTGGCCTAGCCAGTCTCCAGACCTGAACCCAATAGAAAATCTTTGGAGGGAGCTGAAAGTCCGTATTGCCCAGCGACAGCCCCGAAACCTGAAGGATCTGGAGAAGGTCTGTATGGAGGAGTGGGCCAAAATCCCTGCTGCAGTGTGTGCAAATCTGGTCAAGACCTACAGGAAACGTATGATCTCTGTAATTGCAAACAAAGGTTTCTGTACCAAATATTAAGTTCTGCTTTTCTGATGTATCAAATACTTATGTCATGCAATAAAATGCAAATTAATTACTTAAAAATCATACAATGTGATTTTCTGGACATGCTTTGTAAGTAGGAAAACCTGCTAAATCGGCAGTGTATCAAATACTTGTTCTCCCCACTGTACATGTGTATATATACAGTGGGGAAAAAAAGTATTTAGTCAGCCACCAATTGTGCAAGTTCTCCCACTTAAAAAGATGAGAGAGGCCTTTAATTTTCATCATAGGTACACGTCAACTATGACAGACAAAATGAGAAAAAAAAATCCAGAAAATCACATTGTAGGATTTTTTATGATTTTATTTGCAAATTATGGTGGAAAATAAGTATTTGGTCAATAACAAAAGTTTCTCAATACTTTGTTATATACCCTTTGTTGGCAATGACACAGGTCAAACGTTTTCTGTAAGTCTTCACAAGGTTTTCACACACTATTTTGGCCCATTCCTCCATGCAGATCTCCTCTAGAGCAGTGATGTTTTGGGGCTGTCGCTGGGCAACACGGACTTTCAACTCCCTCAAAGATTTTCTATGGGGTTGAGATCTGGAGACTGGCTAGGCCACTCCAGGACCTTGAAATGCTTCTTACGAAGCCACTCCTTCGTTGCCCGGGCAGTGTGTTTGGGATCATTGTCATGCTGAAAGACCCAGCCACGTTTCATCTTCAATGCCCTTGCTGATGGAAGGAGGTTTTCACTCAAAATCTCACGATACATGGCCCCATTCATTCTTTCCTTTACACGGATCAGTCGTCCTGGTCCCTTTGCAGAAAAACAGCCCCAAAGCATGATGTTTACACCTCCATGCTTCACAGTAGGTATGGTGTTCTTTGGATGCAACTCAGCATTCTTTGTCCTCCAAACACGACGAGTTGAGTTTTTACCAAAAAGTTCTATTTTGGTTTCATCTGACCATATGACATTCTCCCAATCCTCTTCTGGATCATCCAAATGCACTCTAGCAAACTTCAGACGGGCCTGGACATGTACTGGCTTAAGCAGGGGGACACGTCTGGAACTGCAGGATTTGAGTCCCTGGCGGCGTAGTGTGTTACTAATGGTAGGCTTTGTTACTTTGGTCCCAGCTCTCTGCAGGTCATTCACTAGGTCCCCCTGTGTGGTTCTGGGATTTTTGCTCACCGTTCTTGTGATCATTTTGACCCCACGGGGTGAGATCTTGCGTGGAGCCCCAGATCGAGGGAGATTGCCACCCTCAGTTGCTCCCATCAGGGTAGAGTCCTGGATCTCTGCCTGTTGCCTCAGCCTGCGGTTCCCTTCTCACCTCCTCTTGTCTCTCTCCAGGCCTGAAGCTCCTGCTCCAGGTCTGCTTCTCCTGCTCCAGCTGCTCCATGCGCCGCGAGGAGATCCTCAGCTCCTCCAACCCAGCCTGCAGGCTCTGGTTCTCAGCCTCCAGCTCGTGGACCTCGGCCTCCAGCCGCTGGAGCTTCCGGCCTGGGGGTGAGTGATGGATGGATGGATGGATGGATGGGTGGGTGGGGTGGATGGATGGATGAAGGTTGGTTTGGATAGGTGGTTGGATGATGGGTGGGTGGATAAAAAACAATATACACTACCGTTCAAAAGTTTGGGATCACTTAGAAATGTTTTTTGTTTTCGAAAGAAAATGATTTTTATTTGTCCATTAAAATAAACACAAATTGATCAGAAATACAGTGTATTTACAGTTCATTAAATAGTACCCGCAATTAGTGAATTGTATGTCTTCCATTTCCTAATAATTGCTCCCACAGTTGATTTCTTCAAACCAAGCTGCTCACCTATTGCAGATTCAGTCTTCCCAGCCTGGTGCAGGTCTACAATTTTGTTTCTGGTGTCCTTTGACAGCTCTTTGGTCTTGGCCATAGTGGAGTTTGGAGTGTGACTGTTTGAGGTTGTGGACAGGTGTCTTTTATACTGATAACAAGTTCAAACAGGTGCTATTAATACAGGTAACGAGTGGAGGACAGAGGAGCCTCTTAAAGAAGAAGTTACAGGTCTGTGAGAGCCAGAAATCTTGCTTGTTTGTAGGTGACCAAATACTTATTTTCCACCATAATCTGCAAATAAATTCATTAAAAATCCTACAGTGTGATTTTCTGGATTTTTTTTTCTTAATTTGTCTGTCATAGTTGACGTGTACCTATGATGAAAATTACAGGCCTCTCTCATCTTTTTAAGTGGGAGAACTTGCACAATTGGTGGCTGACTAAATACTTTTTTTCCCCCACTGTATATATAAATTATGAATGAACATATACTACTTTAATAATCATCAATCATTAGGTTTGTCGGCATACAGAGCACAAAAATCAACAAGCATATGGATCCCTGAACAAATAAAGCACATCACATTGCCCATTCCATGCCCCTGTATATAAAGCAACAGAGCCAAATGCTGCAAAGAGACAGCAGTACCACACTTTTCTCATAGGAGACCAACCTGTGTTGTCCAGGGCAGCCTGAAGCCGCTGGTTCTCTGTGTCCAGTGCTCTACACTTAGCTTCCAGACGCTCTGTGTGCTTAGTGGATGAAGAGGAAGACCTTGTCTGCAGCCCCGTGCTACTGTTCTCCCGACGTGGACTCTTGTTCTTAGAGCAGGGTGAGGAATCACGAGTCAGAGACACTGAAGCACTTAGTTGAAGGAGATTGTGGGTGTTGTCTTTAGCTACTGCTTCCAGGTCAGCCATGGGGTCACTCAGATCGCAAGACTCTCCGTCTTCGAGTTGGCCTTTCTCTTGCTTCTGAAGGTCCATCTTCTCCTTGAGGGTCTCGCTCTCTCTCTCCAGTCGGTCAATCTCTCCCTCTAGGTCACCCGATACTCCATTGCACTTTGGGTCCATGTGATGTGATGTGTCTATATCAATGTCACAATCCTCTTTGATGACCAATTCAGACTGCTCCCAGGAGGTGTTATCTAAACTGCCAAGGTACTCTCTAACCACCTCAGCCTAATAAACAAGGAAACATAAGAAACATCTTGACATGGAAATAGCACTGTTTACTGCTATAGTTCAATAGAATTACTGGAATCTGAACGTGTGGGTTGATGGTTGTATGTCTTCTCCCTGAGCAGCTGTGTGTGGCTATTGTGTTCATGTTTGTGTTGTGGTCCCTGGCTAGTTACCGTGTTTGTGGGTCGCTGGCTGTCCCACTGTGTGTGCTCATGGTTATGGTTGCGTTGCGGTCCCAGGCTGCGGTCAGCTCTCAGGTCCTCTATGGTCCTGAGCAGGCTGTGGTTCTCTCTCTCCAGCCTCAGCAGACGACTCCTGGTCCCATCAACCACCTCCTCACTCAGAGACTTCTGACCTGAACACAACCATCAGACCCAAGGAATAACAGGAATATTAACTAGCTGTTACATAACATCCACTATGAACAAACAGGTGAGAAAATGACTGAAATTAAAAAATGGAATCTTTCTTCACTGATCTTATTGAAGTGCTCCTTTTTGTGCCATATAATTTAGAATAGTCCATAACATAGAATGATGAGAATGTTTCCATATTTCCCATCTCTGCTCACAGGGCCGGTGAAGTGGGTAGAGTAAACCGTCAGTCTTACCCTGTGAGTTGTCGGGGCTCCTGGAGAGCTGCTCCAGCTCCCATCCTAGATGCTGTGACTCCTCCATGCTCCTCCTCTGGGCCAGCTCCAGGGCCAGGTTCTCCTCCAGCAGCTCCTCCATGCGCCTCCTGTCCACCTCCTTCTCCTGGGAAGGGCAGAGAGAGGAGAAGAGAGGGAGATGATGTTGTTATTCTAAAGGCCTTCCACTACGACCAGTTCCTATTTCTCTATCTAATCTGCTTCGAAAGTATGATCTTTTGACCATGGAACACACATGTCCACAACGTAATCTAGCATGTATGATCCTCTCTGTCCATCAACCTGTTCCATCGCATGCATCTTCCAATACACATCCTCCCCTGTACTAAGACCAGTCATTTCCCTATCCTTCACTTATCCTTTAACCAGTTTCCACTACATAATACCCCATGTATTCTACCTGCTCCATGACGTGGACCCTGGTGTTGAGCAGCAGGTTGTGTTTCTCTAGCTGGTGTAGTTTATCAGAGCGGGCCCTCCACCCCGCCAGCTGTTGCTGCAGTACACCCTTGGTCTCCAGCAACACAGAGTTATCCTCCTTCAGCTCCTACCAGATAAGACACATTGTTTTGAAATATTAGTAGCTGTGGTGCTTTGCATTCTGAAACGTTCTGATATAAATGTAACAGTGGATTAAATTCACATTTGAAGGTAAAACAGCATTGGCTGTTTATCATGCTAGATTCTGAGTATTCAATGTGTTTCTCCGTACAGTACAGTACCTCCACTTTGGCCTTGTAGAACTCCATGTTGTGTAGTTTCTCGCGGTATCGTCCCACCTCACTCTCCAGCTTGTCAGCCCTGATGGCCCTCTCTCTCAGGGCATCCAGCTCATCACGGTATGTACGGGCTGACCGGGCCTCCGCTTGCAATACAGAGTTCTGATACGGACACAGACACATACATGGGACACCATCGTGTTGTAAATATACAGCAAAAGTTCTCTCAGGTGGGGAGAAGAAAATGATTGGAAGTAGCTCCTGTCTTAAAATAAATCTACAGTTTAAAAGAAGCTATCTATACTGTATTTATTCTTTGAAGATTTGAATTTCATTGAGTTTATGAGAGGTTGCCCTGACCATGTAACCCACTTGATGGCATGAAAATAAATAAGAAATCTCTCTTTGAGACAGATTTAGGAATTCAGGAGATCAAGCTGCAGCTTTCGTACTGTTGTAGAAAACAGTGTTGTGGTTTAGCCACTGTCACTAGCTAAGCACTAAGACTTTATCTACACTAGAGTATAGTGTACATTAGTCTGAATAATCTCTGATTAGAAGTAAGGTTACTGTGTGTCTGAGGGTTAGAGAGGGTTAGAGAGGAGGTCCGTGTGTGTGTGTGTGTGTGTGTGTGCGTGTATGTGTGTGTTTGTGTGTGTGTGTGTGTGTGTGTGTGTGTATGTGTGTGCGTGCATCACTTCTATCTACCTCCTGTTGAATCCTCTTGAACTCAGCCTCCATGTTCTCCAGCTCCTGTCTGCAGTCCAGTACCTGCTCACTCTTCTCCTCTCTGGGAGGGAGGGAGGGAGGGAGGGAGGGAGGGAGGGGAGATGGTGTAGGTATGCAGATCTTTTCTTAATGTTTCCGCACAAATGCATGCTTGCACATGCACGCACAGTCCCAACTTCTACCACCCACCCACTCATACAGATACAGTAGGTCATACAGACATTATATACAGCTCTTGGTGAAGACATTTAACATGTTAAATGGAATATTATATAAGAGAACCCTTTGAAGAACCCCTTTTGGTTCTAGGTATAGCCCTTTTGGGTTCCATGTAGAACACTTTCTACAGAGGGTTCTATCTGGAACCAAAAAGGATTCTACCTGGAACCAAAAAAGGTTATTCTATGGGGACAGCCGCAGAACCCTTTTGGAACCCTTTTTTCTAAGAGTGCAGATATCTGATGCCTGGCTCCTGCTTGCTGGCCACATTCCAGCACACACAGCACTGCAGCACCAAGACCAACCCTTCCTCCACCCTCTGTTTCTCTGGGAAGTAGCAGCATACTGTTCAGTACTATGACATCCCCTGTGTGACTATTCTTTATAATCCCTAGGAGAAAAGCTTCTCTCGTACATGTTTTTTTTTTTTTACAAACCTATCACTTTGTTGACATTAAGTTTGCACTACAACCTAAAGCTATTACATTTCTAGGGACAGAATAGACTAAACGCAATGTCATGCAGTGTTGGGTTACATTATGAGGATCCTGTACTGCTGTACTGTATGCCCGCGGGCTAGAGTCAGCATATCCCAGTTAGACAATGAAAGCGATAGAGAGAAGAGGAGGAGAGATGGAGGGCTGAATCAGGTCTGGGGGGTGGCAGGGAGGAAGAGGGCCAAAGTGGGTCAATGGCGATGCAAGGCCATGGAGGTTCATGCCAAGGCAGGCCAGGGAGAGAATAGAGGGAGTAATCTGGGCCAAGCTACCCCCAGGCGCCTTCTCCTGTATCAGTTCAGGCAGCCTTTCTCTCTCTCTCTCTCTCTCTCTCTCTCTCTCTTGCTCTCTCTCTCTCTCTCTCTCTCTCTCTCTCGCTCTCTCTCTCTCTCTCTCTCTCTCTCTCTCTCTCACTCTCTCTCTTTGCCTCTGTCTCTCTTCACGGTTGACTGTTTTGCCTTGTCTCACAGCTCAACTGTTTAACCTCCAAACATATGTGGAGACTACCCGAGAAAAAAAAGCACTTATAGAATTTGCTTTCAATTCATTCAACAACCACAAATTATGCTTTCTACTGGAACTAGTTGCTCTTATTCATGCTATTTCAAATGTATAGAATATAAAACAGAAAATGAAGATGCCCTAGGGTGCTTTTGAGTTCTTTAAAGAAGGCTTACATACAGTATATCCTCTAACGCTGGGTTAGGGAAATTACATATCCTCTAAAGACAATGAGCAGTTGGGTGGAAGATGACTCAGAAAGTCCTGAAGCAGTACTGCAGTACTGTTCAAATGACAGATTGTGCTTTTAAAAGGCATTTATGCTTAGCCTGCGCCCGAGATCTGTTTGTGCTGTCTTGCCAACTCCATTGCTGTCATTGTCAAGCCCAGGTTACTTTATGACCACTGAGTGGGAGGGTTGGGACGAGCACTGTCCTTATCTCTGACTACTCACAGCTCCTGGCGCAGCCGTCTGATCTTGGCCTTGGCGTCGGCCAGCTCTACAGACAGGTGCTGGTGGGATGCCGCCTGCTGTTGCATGCTGGGACAGTCGCTGGGGGACTGGGCGCTGGGCGGAGAGGGTGACGGAGTGGACTCTCTCTCCTGCATTAGCTCTAAAATAGTCTGGGGTGGGGAGGAGAAAAGAACAGAGGATCGAAGAAAATAGGACAAGAAATGACACTTACTTCACCTTCACCTTTCATTTCAAGTTCGAGTTAATCAAGTTCAACTTCCTCCATTTCACCACAGATCCATATAAAAAGTAAATCAGTAACTACTGCTATAAAAGCCTAGTAAGACAATGCTCAAAGATATTCCATTGAAATACATTATTGTCAAATTACATAATATTTTATGGCACAGCAAGATCTTGTATGACTCAGCAAGGTCAGACCTATAAACACTGTGCAGTATGACAACAGTGGCCCCTACCTCCAGCTGTGTGTGTCTCTGGTCCACCAGGCCCACATAAGGACTTCGTAACACATTCATAACCCATTTATAACCCCCTACCTCCAGCTGTGTGTCTCTCTGGTCCACCAGTCGTCTGAACAGGGTCTCCAGGTCCTCAGCACAGAGCTCGCTGGCCTCCAGCCAATGGAGGTCCAGTACACTGTCCTGACTGTGGGTAACCTGACCAATCACAGGGAGGAACAGAGAGTTGCAGTCACAACGATTTACAGCACAGAAGGTTGGTGGCACCTTAACTGGGGAGGACGGGCTCGTGGTAACGACTGGAGCGGAATAAGTGGAATTTGATCAAACACATGGTTTGAAGCCATTCCATTCGCTCCGTTCCGACCATTATTATGAGCAGTCCTTCCCTCCCGTCCTTCTCTCAGCAGCCTCTTGTGGTTTACAGTATATCATGTTCCTTTATAGTCCCTTTATATGGAGTGTTTGGTGCTTTACTCTCTCTCGCTCTATATATACAGTGGGGAGAACAAGTATTTGATACACTGCCGATCTTTCAGGTTTTCCTACTTACAAAGCATGTAGAGGTCTGTAATTTTTATCATAGGTACACTTCAACTGTGAGAGACGGAATCTAAAACAAAAATCCATAAAATCACATTGTATGATTTTTAAGTAATACATTTTATTGCATGACATAAGTATTTGATACATCAGAAAAGCAGAACTTAATATTTGGTACAAAAACCTTTGTTTGCAATTACAGAGATCATACGTTTCCTGTAGGTCTTGACCAGGTTTGCACACACTGCAGCAGGGATTTTGGCCCACTCCTCCATACAGACCTCCAGATCCTTCAGGTTTCGGGGCTGTCGCTGGGCAATACAGACTTTCAACTCCCTCCAAAGATTTTCTATTGGGTTCAGGTCTGGAGACTGGCTAGACCACTCCAGGACCTTGAGATGCTTCTTACAGAGCCATTCCTTAGTTGCCCTGGCTGTGTGTTTAGGGTCGTTGTCATGCTGGAAGACCCAGCCACGACCCATCTTCAATGCTCTTACTGAGGGAAGGAGGTTGTTGGCCAAGATCTCGCGATACATGGCCCCATCCATCCTCCCCTCAATACGGTGCAGTCGTCCTGTCCTCTTTGCAGAAAAGCATCCCCAAAGAATGATGTTTCCACCTCCATGCTTCATGGTTGGGATGGTGTTCTTGGGGTTGTACTCATCCTTCTTCTTCCTCCAAACACGGCGAGTGGAGTTTAGACCAAAAATCTCTATTTTTGTCTCATCAGACCACATGACCATCTCCCAAGAATGATCACCACTTTATTTCCGCTTTTATTTCTTTCATCACATTCCCAGTGGGTCAGAAGTTTACATACACTCAATTAGTACTTGGTAGCATTGCCTTTAAATTGTTTAACTTGGGTCAAACGTTTCGGGTAGCCTTCCAAAAGCTTCCCACAATAAGTTGGGTGAATTTTGGCCCATTCCTCCTGACAGAGCTGGTGTAACTGAGCTTTGTAGGCCTCCTTGCTCGCACAAGCTTTTTCAGTTCTGCCCACAAATGTTCTATAGGATTGAGGTCAGGGCTTTGTAATGGCCACTCCAATACCTTGACTTTGTTGTCCTTAAGCCATTTTGCCACAACTTTGGAAGTATGCTTGGGGTCATTGTCCATTTGGAAGACCCATTTGCGACCAAGCTTTAACTTCCTGACTGATGTCTTGAGATGTTGCTTCAATATATCCACATAATTTTCCTTCCTCATGATGCCATCTACTTTGTGAAGTGCACCAGTCCCTCCTGTAGCAAAGCACCCCCACAGCATGATGCTGCCACCCCCGTGCTTCACGGTTGGGATGGTGTTCTTCGGCTTGCAAGCTACCCCCTTTTTCCTCCAAACATAACGATGGTCATTATGGCCAAACAGTTCTATTTTTGTTTCATCAGACCAAAGGACATTTCTCAAAAAAGTACGATCTTTGTCCCCATGTGCAGTTGCAAACCGTAGTCTGGCTTTTTTATGGCGGTTTTGGAGCAGTGGCTTCTTCCTTGCTGAGCGGCCTTTCAGGTTATGTCAATATAGGACTCGTTTTACTGTGTATATATATACTTTTGTACCTGTTTCCTCCAGCATCTTCACAAGGTCCATTGCTGTTGTTCTGGGATTGATTTGCACTTTTCGCACCAAAGTACGTTCATCTCTAGGAGACAGAACGTGTCTCCTTCCTGAGCGGTATGACGGCTGCGTGGTCCCATGGTGTTTATACTTGCATACTATTGTTTGTACAGATGAATGTGGTACCTTCAGGCGTTTGGAAAGGATGAACCAGACTTGTGGAGGTCTACAGTTTTTTTTCTGAGGTCTTGGCTGATTTATTTTGATTTTCCCATGATGAGTTTGAAGGTAGACCTTGAAATACATCCACAGGTACACCTCCAATTGACTCAAATGATGTCAATTAGCCTATCAAAAGCTTCTAAAGCCATGACATCATTTTCTGGAATATTCCAAGCTGTTTAAAGGCACAGTCAACTTAGTGTAAGTAAACTTCTGACCCACTGGAATTGTGATACAGTGAATTATAAGTGAAATAATCTGTCTGCAAACAATTGTTGGAAAAATTACTTGTGTCATGCACAAAGTAGATGTCCGAACCAACTTACCAAAACTATAGTTTGTTAACAAGAAATTTGTGGAGTGGTTGAAAAAATAGTTTTAATGACTCCAACCTAAGTGTATGTAAACTTCTGACTTAAACTGTATATACAGTGAGGGAAAAAAGTATTTGATCCCCTGCTGATTTTGTACGTTTGCCCACTGACAAAGAAATGATCAGTCTATAATTTTAATGGTAGGTTTATTTGAACAGTGAGAGACAGAATAACAACAAAAAAATCTAGAAAAATGCATGTCAAAAATGTTATAAATTGATTTGCATTTTAATGAGGGAAATAAGTATTTGACCCCCTCTCAATCAGAAAGATTTCTGGCTCCCAGGTGTCTTTTATACAGGTAACGAGCTGAGATTAGGAGCACACTCTTAAAGGGAGTGCTCCTAATCTCAGTTTGTTACCTGTATAAAAGACACCTGTCCACAGAAGCAATCAATCAATCAGATTCCAAACTCTCCACCATGGCCAAGGCCAAAGAGCTCTCCAAGGATGTCAGGGACAAGATTGTAGACCTACACAAGGCTAGAATGGGCTACAAGACCATCGCCAAGCAGCTTGGTGAGAAGGTGACAACAGTTGGTGTGATTATTCGCAAATGGAAGAAACACAAAATAACTGTCAATCTCCCTCGGCCTGGGGCTCCATGCAAGGTCTCACCTCGTGGAGTTGCAATGATCATGAGAACGGTGAGGAATCAGCCCAGAACTACATGGGAGGATCTTGTCAATGATCTCAAGGCAGCTGGGACCATAATCACCAAGAAAACAATTGGTAACACACTACACCGTGAAGGACTGAAATCCTGCAGTGCCCGCAAGGTCCCCCTGCTCAAGAAAGCACATATACATGCCCGTCTGAAGTTTGCCAATGAACATCTGAATGATTCAGAGGAGAACTGGGTGAAAGTGTTGTGGTCAGATGAGACCAAAATCGAGCTCTTTGGCATCAACTCAACTCGCCGTGTTTGGAGTAGGAGGAATGCTGCCTATGACCCCAAGAACACCATCCCCACCGTCAAACATGGAGGTGGAAACATTATGCTTTGGGGGTGTTTTTCTGCTAAGGGGACAGGACAACTTCACCGCATCAAAGGGACGATGGACGGGGCCATGTACCTTCAAATCTTGGGTGAAAACCTCCTTCCCTCAGCCAGGGCATTGAAAATGGTATTGTGGATGGGTATTCCAGCATGACAATGACCCAAAACACACGGCCAAGGCAACAAAGGAGTGGCTCAAGAAGAAGCACATTAAGGTCCTGGAGTGGTTTAGCCAGTCTCCAGACCTTAATCCCATAGAAAATCTGTGGAGGGAGCTGAAGGTTCGAGTTGCCAAACGTCAGCCTCGAAACCTTAATGACTTGGAGAAGATCTGCAAAGAGGAGTGGGACAAAATCCCTCCTGAGATGTGTGCAAACCTGGTGGCCAACTACAAGAAACGTCTGACCTCTGTGATTGCCAACAAGGGTTTTGCCACCAAGTACTAAGTCATGTTTTACAGAGGGGTCAAATACTTATTCCCCTCATTAAAATGCAAATCAATTTATAACATTTTTGACATGCGTTTTTCTGGATTCTTTTGTTGTTATTCTTTCTCTCACTGTTCAAATAAACCTACCATTAAAATTATAGACTGATCATTTCTTTGTCAGTGGGCAAATGTACAAAATCAGCAGGGGATCAAATACTTTTTTCCCTCACTGTATATGCATCTCAAAGCAGTACATGGAATGATACTGTACATAGGTCCCACTTCATAATAAATGACCCTAAAACATGTTACTGTGTGTAGGCAAGTATAGTGTAATATTGTGCAGGTCTTTTAGCGATATCTAGGTGTGTTATTAGACACACCCTCTAATGTTGCGAAACACCCAGCGTATGTATTTCAAATGACAATGTTTGGACCAATGTTATTGGCAACCAAGTGGGAGTGCCTCTGTGACTAGACAGGAAGACTGGCAATGATATGACAGTTTTTCATTGCACACTGTCCTCAATAAGCGCTTGATGATTGTGCTGTGTAACAGTAACAGGACTTTGTGTATTGTTGTCATGCAGACAAGACAACACGTGCTAGAATGTTCCTTTGGTGTTCATTCCTGGGGGGAATCCTAAAGCCTTTTCATTTAGTTTGCATTGCTCCTGACTTATGACTTAAGTTCCATGTGAACTTCTATTACCTGAGGGAAATAATTACATAATTTCTCATATGACCTAAATACTATAAAAGGTATTAGTGTTCTCCTTAATAAATACATGTGGTGCTATAAATGTGGTATAAAGCTATAAATGTTGTCCTTTGTAGCTAAGTTGGTAGAGCATGGCGCTTGTACAGCCAGGGTAGTGGGTTCGATTCCCGGGACCACCCACATGTAAAATGTATGCACGCATGCTAAATAGATTTATTATTATTATTATCATTACTATTATTATGTTGTTGTTGTTTACTAACAGCCCGGTGGCTATATAGGGCCTTTAATGTATTATTGTAAAATGAATGTTAATAACGCTTTAAAAAATGGATAATTATTTAAATCACAACACTGTTTGTGCATGTTTGCAAATGGATAGCCTTCCCTTGGCATGTCCTCAATGGCTAATACTTCAACATAAGAGAAATATGCACGTTATTGAATGTGGAACAAGCTAGCCTGAGTCCCAGATCTGTCTTGCCGACTCTACTGCTGTCAATGTCATGCACAGACCAGGGACAAGCGCAATGTGGAACAAGATACTCTACCTCTTGGATATGAGCAGCTATGGCTGCTTTCGTGTCAAAGTCAAGGGTCTGGATGCGTTCGATGTACTCCTCTTTCTTGTCACACTGTAAACACAGAGTGGGTATAGTAGATTAAGGTCTTAATGAGTGTGTGTAGCCTAGCCTGGGGTACGGACATCCTGTTGGTGAGGTGAAACAGGGGTCCCCCTCAAATCCTCAATTATGAGCTAGCTAAAACAATATTTTTCCATTTGAATTTCAGACACACAAAAGCGAGCACAGACGCACCACCCCCCCCCACACACACACACACACATAGCGACACACAACTACACACACCCCTCCAACCCCTCCTACCTGGACAGCACATCCCAATAAGAGTAGAAGTAATTTCTTCATTTCCTCCAGACTTTGCTCTGAGGAGAAAACACAAAAATACAAACCTCACACTACATTTAGATGAAAGTAAATGATTAAAGGAGATGTAGCTTCAGATGTAGCCTAACTTGAGGCAGGCTGCTGTGTGAATTTGGCCAGAGCCTGCCACCAAGGCTAGCATATCTATCAGACTGATGGTGTGCAATTGAATTATGCATTTGCTAAAGACACAGACAGTAAAGGAATTCTTAAAGTCTGTCTTATAGGAGTTTTGAGGTCAACTTAGGGCAGCATTGCAATGAACTGGGCTGGTTTGAATTTCGTTTACTCATATGAATAATTATATTATGGTATGTCATGGACAACAAATGGAAGGATGATACTGCAAACTCTAAGATGGTGTCAATCATCTCACAAAATGTATTTCACAGATACAGTAGTTATTCTATTTATAGTCTCTCAACAGAGGTGTGTGACTGGCAAACCAAGTATACAGTAGTCCTTAAGTACAGATGTAGGATTTTAATTTGACCACTTTCTCACAGAAGGGAAATAATCCTGCAGCAACAGGAAATGTAAATTATTGTGTGGATTATAATTTATGAAAATGTTTGTAGGAGTTGATACATTTTTTATTAGGGCAAATCAAGTCTGACATTTTAGAGTGGAAATGACCAACTTTAAAAGCCTTTTAAAATCTTGAATACACTAAAAGTTTGAAATTAAGATCCTACATCTGTAAAACTAAAATAGTACTGTACTTTACATAGAATTCAATAGCCACCAGTAGAATTTAAAGGGCGTACTGCTCTCTCTTTGGGTTTCTCAACTGAATGTAAAACAGTGTGGGAACGGTGGGCATGCGTACCACAGTGAGGAGTCTTGCCAAGCACCAACACGTTGGGTAAGGGCATCATGATCAGCTGCCTCAGAGTTTCCTAGGAAAGAGAGAAAAGGGGGGATGAAAAAGGGAGGATGGGTACAGAAAAGGACAATGAAAGAGTGAGACAGGAGGACAAAAAACACTGTTGGGATCTGGCCAATGCTATCTGAATGAGTAGGGTTGTGTATGTATAGTCAGGCATTTCAATACATGTAGACTTGGTGCCAACAGATGGAGAGGGACCAGAATGGCTGTAAGAAATGGTCAGTTTCCTTGGTGCTTCTTTATGCATAACCCTTTCAGCCTATATATGCCAGTGGTGCCAGGACACTTCCCAGTCTGGGGAATTGTTGATCAGACCTGAGCTCAAAATAAAATGTATTTTCTTTCAAATATGTTGCACGTTTTATTTAGCCTGCCTCGACTGCCATGTGGGCGGGGTTTGCACTTTAGGGACTATTCCGTTGGTTCCATTGCGCCAGTGCAAGCGCAATCACGCACAGCGAAAGTATTGGGAAGAAAATAAATACTATTTGAACCCATGTCTGTTGTTGGTTGCTGCAGTGGCTAGCTAGGCTAATGTGGTGGGGATATGTAATGCAATGTTTAATTTCCCCTTGAGAAAACCAGGGCCCCTCTTTAGTCCAGGAAACAATTAGTAAAGTCCATAGTAAGAGAGTTCCAGTCTGGCTAGCCATGCAGCTGTGGTGCAGTAAAATCAACCACCGCCATCCAACCAACCAGTCAAATTTTCCAGTGACCGCGACCCATTTCCAGTGAGGAATGTCCAAGGGACTGGGCTCTGGGGTCACTTTGCTTTCCCCCTCGAGCTAAAATCTGATTATGAAGTGAAGTCAATGTTTTTGATTGCGGTTTATAGCGGAGTTGAGATAAAATCATCTCTTCAACCAGTGATTGGTGCACTAAACACAAAATAAGACTTGGATGACTTTGACATAGAGATTACAGCTGCAACAATGCAGTTGAATATGACAAAAATAAATATATTTCAAAATCCTGTCACAAAATGCACAAATCTAATACTACACAAACTAGGCCTATTCCAAAATAATTCTGTCCAAATATGACAAAATTTGAATCTGTCCTGAAATGATAGTGTCTGGGAAACAAACTCCATTCCATCTCTTGATCAAGCATTGTAGCCTACATTACTGCAGACAGAGAGAGGAGAGCTGCCGTCTTCATTTGCCATCTAAGCATACGTCCCAAATGGCAATCCATTCCTGAAATAGTGCACTCCTTTTTGACCAGGACCCATAGGGAATTCTGAGGGGAATTCATTAGATATCTTGCTTGTTCTTGGTGTTTTCTAACCTGTTTTTTTGCTGGAATCCAAATCAAACCCTTGGGAAAGTAGATTGCTGCAATGATGAGATTGAACTGGTACTCAACTGTGGTAAACACACCACAGACCCTTTATAGATCAACTAGGACAATATAATTTCAAAAGACTATCATTCTTTTATTTTTCTAGATGATATAATGATACACTATGTGTGCTGTATGATGAGGATTTGTACAAATAAATACAGATACTAGAATAATTGTGTTCCATACAAACGTCGGTCCAAACAAACAAACAAACTAGCTAGATGAATTGTCTGTCAAAATGATCTCCACACTGGAAATATAACAATACAAAGTATGTCTCGGCTCTCACACATTCACATTGCACTATATTTTCTAACCCACCGGAAGGAAACCTTAATTCTCTATTTCCCAATCCCTACTGATCGTATGTCTGTAGAACTGCTCTGTTTTTAATTACTACAATTGCTTTCATTCAAACCGCAGCATTAGACAGATAGACAGTCGCGACTGAGAGGGACTCTCTCAGTCGCTGTCGTGAGCCCACCGAAATGGGTCATTCCAAAGCTTTGTAGGTCTGGCACAGACATTACTGTAGCCTCCCTAACGACAAACACTGATTGCACAGATGTTTACATGGTGGATGTGGTGATATTTAGGGCAGTCGTCTTAAGAAGAGCCTGGTTGACAGTCTGGTGGGTGGTGGTGGCGGACCAGATCAGGCCAGGTCAGTGGGCCAGATGTGCAGAGAGCTGCTCTCCCCACTTAGAGGGTATTAACCCTTCCCATCATGCATTTCAAATGTTCCATAGAGTATAAGAGGGAGGGATGTTTAATGGCAATGGGGAAAGATGTTAATGGTGGAAACTTAGCTAAGAGGGAACATCCATAACTGTAACTCACTAGGTAATAGGTTTTGATTTGACGGATGAGAACGGTCAGGTTCAGAATCCTCTGACTGGGGTCGTTGTTCACTTTGTTGACACTCTCAAGTGTGGCTTTGGGGTTTCTGAGGAGAATGAAAACATTATAATAACGTTATAGCAGCTTTATTACAACATTGTATTTCAGCTACAGCCACAAAGATGGTAAAGTGTTACCTGTGGGATTTCTGAAGGAAATTAAATCATTATGACATTATATAAGAATGCTATTTCTAAGACGTATTTCAGCTACAGCCACAAAGGTGGTGAGTTATGTGGTAAACCAGGTGCTATAAGGATATAGTACATCTGGCTAAACTTGGCTTTAACTCCCATCAAACCTGCTTCTAGCTCTCTCTCTGTTTTCCCCTCTTTTTCTGCCCCATTACATCATTCCCTCTGTCAGGCTGGTGGCATGATGCATTCACAGCCAAAGGGTAGCTGCTCTCTAGCCATAGCATCAGTCTGCTCCACTCTTTTTTTTTTTTTTTTTTTTTTTCACCTTTATTTAACCAGGTAAGCCAGTTGAGAACAGGTTCTCATTTACAACTGCGACCTGGCCAAGATAAAGCAAAGCAGTGCAATAAAAACAACACAGAGTTACATATGGGGTAAAAAACATAAAGTCAAAAATACAACAGAAAATATATATACAGTGTGTGCAAATGTAGCAAGTTATGGAGGTAAGGCAATAAATAGGCTATAGTGCAAAATAATTACAATAGTATTAACACTGGAATGCTAGATGTGCAAGAGATTATGTGCAAATAGAGATACTGGGGTGCAAAAGAGCAAAATAAATAACAATATAGGGATGAGGTAGTTGGGTGGGCTAATTTCAGATGGGCTGTGTACAGGTGCAGTGATCGGTAAGGTGCTCTGACAACTGATGCTTAAAGTTATTGAGGGAGATAAGAGTCTCCAGCTTCAGAGATTTTTGCAATTTGTTCCAGTCCTTGGCAGCAGAGAACTGGAAGGAATGGCGGCCAAAGGAGGTGTTGGCTTTGGGAATGACCAGTGAGATATACCTGCTGGAGCGCAGACTACAGGTGGGTGCTGCTATGGTGACCAATGAGCTAAGATAAGGCGGGGATTTGCCTAGCAGTGATTTATAGATGGCCTGGAGCCAGTGGGTTTGACGACGAACATTTAGTGAGGACCAGCCAACAAGAGCGTACAGGTCACAGTGGTGGGTAGTGTATGGGGCTTTGGAGACAAAACGGATGGCACTGTGATAGACTACATCCAATTTGCTGAGTAGAGTGTTGGAGGCTATTTTGTAAATGACATCGCCGAAGTCAAGGATCGGTAGGATAGTCAGTTTTACGAGGGCATGTTTGGCAGCATGAGTGAAGGAGGCTTTGTTGCGAAATAGGAAGCCGATTCTAGATTTAACTTTGGATTGGAGATTCTTTATGTGAGTCTGGAAGTTGAGTTTACAGTCTAACCAGACACCTAGGTATTTGTAGTTGTCCACATACTCTAGGTCAGACCCGTCGAGAGTGGTGATTCTAGTCGGGTGGGCGGGTGCCAGCAGCGTTCGATTGAAAAGCATGCATTTAGTTTTACTAGTGTTTAAGAGCAGTTGGAGGCTACTGAAGGAGTGTTGTATGGCATTGAAGCTCGTTTGGAGGTTTGTTAACACAGTGTCCAATGAAGGGCCAGATGTATACAAAATGGTGTCGTCTGCGTAGAGGTGGATCTGAGAGTCACCAGCAGCAAGAGCGACATCATTGATATACACGGAGAAAAGTGTCGGCCCAAGAATTGAACCCTGTGGCACCCCCATAGAGACTGCCATAGGTCCAGACAACAGGCCCTCCGATTTGACACACTGAACTCTATCTGAGAAGTAGTTGGTGAACCAGGCGAGGCAGTCATTTGAGAAACCAAGGCTATTTAGTCTGCCAATAAGAATGCGGTGGTTGACAGAGTCGAAAGCCTTGGCCAGGTCGATGAAGACGGCTGCACAGTACTGTCTATTATCAATCGCGGTTATAATATCGTTTAGGACCTTGAGCGTGGCTGAAGTGCACCCATGACCAGCTCGGAAACCGGATTGCATAGCGGAGAAGGTACGGTGGTATTCGAAATGGTCGGTGATCTGTTTGTTAACTTGGCTTTCAAATACTTTCGAAAGGCAGGGCAGGATGGATATAGGTCTGTAGCAGTTTGGATCTAGAGTGTCACCCCCTTTGAAGAGGGGGATGACCGCGGCAGCTTTCCAATCTCTGGGGATCTCAGACGTTATGAAAGAGAGGTTGGTCCCAGATCTGTTTGCGCTGTCTTTTCAACTCCTATGGTCCTTGACACGTGCGAGTTGGGAAGAGAGCACGAACAGATCTGGGACCAGGCTAGCAACACTCCAATCAAGCACCTAAAAGAGTCCTCCCTTCTTTCACCCACTCCCTTCCCAGCCATTTCAATTTCCCTAACGACTGGCAATCTGACTGACACAGTGACCTAAACCTATTTGGCCTCAGCCTCCTGTAACAGATAGGATGTACCCTGACATCTGTCCATGGGTGTATTCATTAGGCAGCAAATGGAAGCAAAGATCCCAAAACAGGGAGGGACTACCTGAAGTGGTTCAATAAGAAACACTAATTTTCGATTGCCATTGCAAAATGTTTCGCTACTGTGAGCCCTAATGAGGATGACCCCATAGTCTCCTGTAGGTCTGAGCCACTACTGTCTCCCTCTCTGCCATCTGTCTCTCTCTCCTCATAAAACTAAACACTATCAACAAGCCCCTAATCCAGAGGGTCTCCATGCAATCCAAGGGATTATCCTAAACCTAACCCACCGGCAGGCCCCAGCATTGTGTGTGTGTGTGTGTGGTGTGGGGGGGGGGGGGGGTTTGGGTGTGAGTATGTGTGTGTGTGTATTGTTTTTTTAGCCCCGGTGGGCTAGCCAGACTGTGACAGACGCTCTTATCCCTGAGAACACAGGATATATATTTTTTTAAACCTCTAGTTAGTTGGGTCCCTTCAAACATAGCCTACATTAGTCCTAGATATTGATATTATACACTCACAAAGTCAGGTACCTCAGATTCAGAACTAGGCTATATCTACCCAAATTAAAAGTTGTTCTATGGGGTTATAGTGCCTTTTCATTGGACAGCCTGGGTCTAACAAACCCCCAGCCATAGTCAGTCACACTAATGACTGTCTATCAGAGGGGTCATCAGTGTGTGATGATTAGGGGGGTGATGATGATAATTCTCCCAGCCATAAGGTACCCCAACAATAAGCTATTCAATAAGCTCTTGAAGATTTCCTTTAAGACTTCGATGGCTATGGACTTGACACAAAAACCTCTTTAGTCCCAGATCTGTTTTGTACTGTCATGCCAACTTCGTTGCTGTCATTGTCACATCAGCAATGGAGTTGGAAAGACAGCACAAACTGATCTGGGACTCAGGCTAGACCTTTTCTGGAAACCAATTAGAAATGTTACAGTAGTACATATTCTTGACTGAGGCATTTAGACGACAAAAAACTCGTTCAGAGCCAGTGAGTGACAAAGCATGCGCTGTTGTGTAGCATTGACTAGTTCATAAGAACTTCAGCTGCTTTCATGCTCTATCAGTAACAGCTGTATCCACTAGCCTATACGCAGACACAGACAAGAACACAACTTCATTCTGAAAACACAAAATGTCAGGCAGAATGACCCTAACCAACCCAGCACAACGCACTCTAAAAATAGCATTCTCAAAATGCTGCAAAATTCTGAGAGCACTGGAGTACAAACAGGTTAAGTGTTATATCACTTTGCTCATTAATGTTTTGCATGAAGATGGCACCAGAACTCACTCTATTTATAGCATGCCCAAATGTAATTCTGAGGGGAATGGAGTCAAAATGGCCTGGTCCCAGACCTATTTGTGCATTTCCTAACTCCATTGCTGTCATTGTCACGCCAAACATGACAATGACTGACATGGAGTTAGCATGATAGCAGAGACAGACTGGCACTCAGCTTATAGTCAAAACACAACCAAGTTAAATAGCCTATTATTATATAACTTCTCTCATTATTAGCATGGATGATCACAGCAACATTATGAGCAACATTGTAGCTTGCTGTCAGATGAGAGGAAGTGGTTGATGAGCCAATCATTGACATGGGCTACTGGTTCAAAATGTGTCAAATTCCAGCTAAACTGTAACTGTTTTATCTGGACACTGCTGCTCACTAACTTGGATTAGGCTACAACAGGCCGGCATAGAGCCAACTTCCTTATTGGCTGCAGTGCATAGGACAAAATGTGCAACTAAACAAAACAAAAACAGACAAAACGTACATTTGAACCATGATCTTGTTCATAACTACCCCATCCAGTAACTCGGAATAATCCAATGTCATGTTCCCATCGTTTTGCCCAAATGTCTTCACCTAAACAAAAGAAAGAAGAAAAGCGTTATTAGTTCCTTATTAATGGGGAAAATCAATGCCAAGGACATTTATCATTGCTACGTTATTAACATGTAGAAGGGTACTTACCCAAATGACAAGCGGGCTGAGCATAAATTGCTCTAGATGGGGCATAAAAACCTCGCTTTCCATCTTGATCGATGTCCTTGATGATTGATCGATCCTTTATCAGCAAAACATCTTGGCTATGATGATGACTTCTGAAGACGTTAAAAGAGAGATCGTTTGCTTGATAAACACAGAAAACTCTTCATTTAAACATTCCTCCTATCCCTAGATGTGAATGAAACGCAGGACACAGCCACTGTCATTGTGGAGAAGCCTGCAACACTTCTTCTGGTCGGCAGGGATCCCGTCGCTTTAGTAAAACTATCAAGTAGCTTGCTGCTGCAGCCGCAGTGAGACTGCATAATCGTCCTGTCCGCGTTTTTGTTGGTAGTACACAAGCTAACATGCTATATCATTTGATTTGAAAAATTCTCGGAATGTAGCCGTGGACGGGCATTGTTCAAAAAAATTCCATTGGCATTTTCCCCGCAAGTTTATTATGTAGCCTACATCCCTTGAAAGGTCCATTCACTGGTGCTGCAAAGGCATCTGTCCGGCAGTCAGGGGAGGCACACACCTACCTCCTTCTTTCTCCCCACTCCTCACTCTCTTTCTCATACAAAAACACATGCACGCGCGTATCAGTATCCACTAGCTACAATTTGAAGTTATGTTGCGGGCACTTGACAACTCAACCTGCTACGAGTGATGCAGTGGCGGGAAAGTAGCTACACAAAGTGCATAAAAGTTACAATGATCACTCACTCTGAACACATTGTATCTTTGCACCGGTCCGTATCCTTGTCATGACAAAACAAGACTGATAACACACTAACCGCAGTCAAACCATCGCACATCTTTGATGCCACCACCAATATCAAATAATCCCGAGCTGGTGCTAATCTGCAGCAGCAAAAAGTGCTAATAGAGCCGTCTAAAATAGCTTTGACCTTAATCTGTTGCCATGACAACTGCACCCACCCCACCCCTCCCATCCCCTCCTCTCCTCTCCTCATCCGTGGTAGGGGGCGGTCCTTTTTCATCACAAAGCGACCATGAGCAACACAGGGATAATGCTAAGGCCACACAACACTTCACTAGAAGAAGCAGGAATGGAAAGCAAGTTTCCCATTCTATATCACCACCATAGGCTACATAAAGGCTATTCCCTAATAACAAAATAAAAATTGGACAGAAAAAGACCAAAACATGGTATAATACAAGTTGAGGGGATACATAAACTGCAATCCAACCCCCCCCCCCAAAACAAATATCACAAACTATAGGCCCCATTACATGTTTATAGCAATTTACAACATGAGTAAACCTAGGCTGTAATTGCAACATGAATAGGCTATAATAAAACTTACTAAAAAGGTTGATATCAAACTTTGCACTGAACATACAACTAACTGAACATGAAAAAGTTATTTTCATCTCTCATTGAATTCTCTTGCACAGTGACAACCCAGAGCCATTTGATATCCAATATAACGCTATAGCACCATCATGTGTTCAAAATAAGTACTACCACACTCCAGATGTTGCTCATGTGGTGTCTGGCCCCAGGACCGGATTACCGAACGTGCACGCAAGGTACGTGCCCTGGGCCCCCGACCTCCAGGAGGCCCCCAACCAAATTATTATTATCTAACTGTGGCCCCTAAATAGCATATGGTAGCAAAATGTGTAGAATTGCAGGAAATTAGCTTTAAAACTTGTAAATTCTCTCTCAGCCTCATGGCAAAATGTGTAAACAGTAGGAAATTAGCTTTCAAACGGCAACATTTTCTCATAGCCTCATGACAAAATGTGTAGAATAGCATTATAAAAATGCATTATTTTTTAAATGCATGCAGTTAACTGTTTTGCCCCAAAAATTCTGGGGGTCAGTGCCCCGGGGCCCCAAAAGCGGTAGTCTGGCCCTGTCTGGCCCAGGTAGGGAACTTTTATCACTCAGAAAAGGTATTTAATGAAACTTCCTGTTCAACTCTAATAAAGGCCTACCAAGCCGAAACGTGTTGGTGTTTGTTTGTCCTGCTTTTTTCTAATATTTATATCAAAATGCAAAAGTAATAATATCCTCCCTCCGTTCTATGACAGCCTTGATGGGAAAAGTAAGCCCCATGATTAATTTTCCTACACTTTTCCTCTTTACTAGGCCGAAGTGGTGCCCATCATCCCCTTAGTTTTTCTGCTACTGTTTCAAAACAGTGGAAATAAGGATGAGTCTCAAAATGTGCAAGGTATCGTTTCTTTTTTTTATTACAGTCAAGTATAAAATAAGTTCACATCATATTATGGATCAACAAGGCGAAACTGTATCATAAATATATCATAAATATAGTGTACATTCCTTGCATTTTAATTAGGGGGGGCATTTTGGCAGTTCCCCCAAAAGGCATGCCATGCAATTGCATACAGGTAACATCCTACCAGTAATATTGTCATTTGTTTACATGACAATAAGTCTACAAAAAGAGGTCGTCTCTATGTAAGCATGTGAAATATTATTAAGGCATAGCATTGAATGTTTATTATGATTTTTTTGTGGTTATATCGATTATTATAATATGTTAACCAAATACTGCGGAATTCTTGTCACACTGAATGCATAATCAAACAATACAAAATGCATACATAATTCAGTCTGTGTAAATGTAGAGGTCCTGCAAAAATGACACCATTAGAATAATATTTTATGTTCAACCTCCATGCCGCTCATGCTTATAATAATGCATAAAATGGTCCACATAACCAGATTTGTGCATCTTCAGGATAATCCATATTTGGCCGTCATCAAACATGGGGTTTATTCATTAGTACACACTGTAGCAAACCGCAGAAAAACGTTTTGCAACAGAAAACGTTTTTGCAACGAAAACGAGAGTTTCATGTTGGACAATTTCAACTCGGTCCCTCCCCGTTTTCGGCCTGTTTGCGTCCGTTTAGTTCCTAGTGAATACACCCTTGTTTCATGGCAAGTTAAAGGGAAAGTTGGTTCTTCTGTGCTTATAGTTTATTATTAGGGGTTGTTAGACTCATCCCAGCTCTCTTTGCCCTCCTTGTTATCCAGCAGACCCTTGACCTCTGGTTGTTGGAGGTTCCTGTATTTGCTACCCTCTGGAGTCCTATTACTGGCCTGTATGTTTTTAGCGTAGCGCGAATGCCAGTCCCTCTCGAACACAGCCTTCACCTGCTCTAGGATTGTGGTGCCCCTCTCCTTGAGAGTTTGTGTTGGTTTGATGACGAGCCCGGTCCCTGCGTTATAGGCAAACTCACTCCCCACCCAGTCGTGATTACCTGAGGAAATAGAGGCTACACACATCAGACAGAGATCATACCATTGTGCCCTGTGCAAGGTACTGAGTTCCAAACTAGCTCAGGGAGAGCTGCATTGTGGCTGACTCTTTGCTCCTCTCAAAAATGTGTGTGTGTGTGTGTGCATGTGTGTGTGTGTTTGTGTGTGTGCGTGTGTTTGTGTGTGTGTGCGTGTGTGTGTGTGGTGAGGGGTTAACAGTAAAGGATAATACACATGTTCTGTCTTCTCTGTATAGATAATTGTATAATTGCCTAGTAAATCAATGATACAGTAGATGCCCAGTGACATCTGGATCACTGACCTATGTACACAGCACTGTCGGTCACCATGTACTTATTGTGGTTGATTCCTGGTTGACTATTAGCCATCTGCTCCCTCCTGCTAAAAAACTTCTGCAGGAATAGAAGATTAAAGTCATAAAACCAAATTGATAACCACCGCAATAGAAGCAATGCTAGTGCAATGTATGGCTTCAAGTTGCTTTAAAACTCAATGAGATATCATAAACCTGAATTGCTGAGCCACTTTATTTCTTAAAGGAATATTACAGTCCAAGATCAATGTTTTTAGACCTCAGAAGTAGTCTAATGTCAAGATGAATCAACCCACACCATAGATTGTGTAAATTCAGCTACAGTACATGGTATTTTGGAGTGTAATACAGTATATCTCTTTAATAGGCATTTCATAGTTTTTCTTTCCATTTACTCACCACCTCTAGGGAGCAGTTGGCCAGCTCCATGCACAGTGACTTGAGGGACATAATGAAGTTAAAGGTGAGCGGGTGGGTCTGCTTCCAGAAACTAATGAGCATACGAACTTTGACTCCTCTCAGGACCACAGCCTCACGTATCATCTCATCGATAGGAGACCAGTATCTATGCCGATGGAAGGGTCACAAAGTTACAGGAAATTAGATGCACAGCAGAGTACCACAAGGACATTTTATAAGAACAATTTTAGCTACACTGTCAGCTAACACTTTTAACCACAATCCTTCATTTGTGTTTCAGCCAATGGCACTCCTGCCACTTGGTTTGCTAAGAAGCTGAGGGTTTGGGCTCTCAAATTCATAAATCAAGTCATGGCTGCACAAGCAGACTATGGTTGCACTCAGATTGCAGATTGTATAGCTATAGCTTGTTTGTCATTTATTATGTCATTGGTTCTACTCTAATGAACACATTGTGAAAAGGTGAATAGGCTTATTATCAGATATTGGGAAGCATCACCTTGAAACTAAAGACCCTCGAGAGCTTCTGATCAGTAGGGGAAGGTAGTCTGTGACAGAGATGTAGATGAACAACTTGGCGTCCTGCATCACATGCTGTATGACATCTATGTCCTTGGCCCGATTCTTAGGACAGAAGAGCTCAGGAGAGGTCTGAGGAAGGAAGGAAGGAAGGAAGGAAGGAAGGAAGGAAGGAAGGAAGGAAGGAAGGAAGGAAGGAAGGAAGGAAGGAAGGAAGGAAGGAAGGAAGGAAGGAAGGAAGGAAGGAAAGAAGGAATCATGATTAAGATGAGAACACACATTAAAATCATTCAATTTGACTTGTTTTGATTGCAGGATATATTAAAGACTCAACTATTTCAATAAGTAGAGCTTCAGCGTTTCATAGCTTCACTTTATTACTGCCTCTTGTAGCCTATATTTTACACTTTCAAAACAAAGGTTATTTTCTAATTTCCCATTTCCTAAATTTGAAGCAGTCAAAATATTGAATAAAGTCTGAGACGTTGGGGGGAGGAAATAGTGGGCAAAACAATGACGTACATAACCTCAACATGTGTCATTGTCAGAAGTGAGCTGAGGGGAGCGGAGGCAGAGGAGGAGGGCAAGGTTTTGCCAACAGCAGCATCACAGTAGGACGCCATACCATCATTACTTCCTGTTACGATGATGAATGTGTTCTCTGTAGCTGATCAACATCTCATCCCTAGGGGGATGGAGAGATTAATTACTGTCAAATTAGACGCTGACGAGTCGACCGGAGACGTTTCATTCGTTTCTCAGCGTAACATTTACATTAATCACCCCGGATGGGTGTCAACGTATTAATTGATAAAGCAATCTGTTATGGGTGTCATAATGTTTTGTAAGGTTTTTGTCCATCTAGTTCAGAACATTCTAGGGTACAAGAACATTTTGTAAATATCAGCTCGATGGTAAAGTAATAAGATGTCTAGTAAAACTGCTTAGGGTTAGTTAGGGTTAGGGTTAGTTAGGGTTAGGGTTAGTTAGGGTTAGGATTAGTTAGGGTTAGGGTTAGTTAGGGTTAGGGTTAGTTAGGGTTAGGGTTAGTTAGGGTTAGTTAGTTAGGTTATGTTAGGGTTAGTTAGGGTTAGGGTTATTGGGTTAGGTTTGTTAGGGTTAGTTAGTTGGGTTAGGGTTGGTTAGTTGGTTGTTGTTGGGTTAGGGTTCGTTGGTTAGGGTTCGTTTGGTTGTTAGGGTTGTTAGGGTTCAGTTAGGGTTCGGGTTCGTTCGGGTTGGTTCGTTAGGGTTAGGGTGTTAGTTGGGTTGGTTGTTGGTGTTAGGGTTAGGTTTGGTTAGGGTTAGGTTGGGTTAGTTAGGGTTGGGTTAGGGTTAGTTGGTTAGGTTAGTTGGGTTAGGGTTAGTTTAGGTTAGTTCGGTGTAGTTTCGGGTTAGCTTAGGTTTTAGGTTACGGTTATGGTTAGTTTAGGTTTGGGTTGGTTATTCTGAGCTTCATTACTGGAGTGTAAAGGTCTCTGATTTACGCCTCCTGTCTTCTGTAGTAACTAACATAATAAATACGATTTGCAGAAGTTATGGTTTGTTTGTCAGTTGGGTGTTATACGGGCTTCATTGTAACGGAGTGAGAAGCTCTGATCTCCTGACCAGCCTCCATGTCTCTGTACTGTATACCATAAACAAATACAATCCATATGGGTTACTCTGATTTAGTAACCAGTGTTAGGTGGCTGTCCTTCGTGAGGACGTGACTCTCTTGGACCAGATAGAGGGGATGTAGTCTCTGTACTGGAGTTGCCAGTAGAAGGAAAATACCCTATGGAGGTCTATAGCCAGACAGCTGCAGTTATAAACCATCACTCCTAACTCCTTCCTCTGTGGAGAGATGGAGGGAAGAGAGGGAGGGAGATGAGGAGGCAATGCGGTTAACTGGCTGGTTAGAAAAGAGAGAATGAGAGTATTGACTGGACAGTGGTAGAGAGAGAGAGAAACTCCTCAAACAGGCTAGTTGAATGCCATATACTGTAAGTGTATACTTTTCTGATGAAAATATTGGTTGTGTCAGTATATTGTGTCTGTGGCCTTCGGAAAGTATTCAGACCCCTTGACTTTTTCCAAATGTTCTTACGTTACAGCCTTATTCAAACATTTATTAAATTGTTCCCCCCCCCCCCCCCCCATCAATGTACACACAATAACCCATAATCACAAAGCAAAAATAGGTTTTTAGAAATAAAATACCCTTTACTCAGTACTTTGTTGAAGCACCTTTGGCAGCGATTACAGCATCAAGTCTTCTTGGGTATGATGCTACAAGCTTGGCACACCTGTATTTGGGGTGTTTCTCCCATTCTTCTCTGCAGATCCTCTCAAGCTCTGTCAGGTTGGATGGGGAGCGTTGCTGCACAGCTATTTTCAGGTCTCTCCAGAGATGTTCGATCAGGTTCAAGTCCGGGCTCTGGCTGGGCCACTCAAGGATATTCAGAGACCTGTCCCGAAGCCACTCCTGCGTTGTCTTGCGTTTGTACTTAGGGTCGTTGTCCTGTTGGAAGGTAAACCTTCGCCCCAGTCTGAGGTCCTGAGTGCTCTGGAGCAGGTTTTCATCAAGGATCTCTCTGTACTTTGCTCCGTTCACCTTTGCCTCGATCCTGACTAGTCTCCCAGTCCCTGCCGCTGAAAAACATCCCCACAGCATGATGCTGCCACCACCATGCTTCACCGTAGGGATGGTGCCAGGTTTCCTCCAGACGTGATGCTTGGCATTCAGGCCAAAGAGTTCAATCTTGGTTTCATCAGACCAGAGAATCTTGTTTCTCATGGTCTGAGAGTCTTTAGGCAAACTCCAAGCGGGCTTTCATGTGCCTTTTACTGAGGAGTGGCTTCCGTCTGGCCACTCTACCATAAAGGCTTGGTTGATGGAGTGCTGCAGAGATGATTATCCTTCAGGAAGTTTCTCCCATCTCCACAGAGAAACTCTAGAGCTCTGTCAGAGTGACCATCGGGTGTCAGAGTCACTTCCCTGATCAAGGCCCTTCTCCCCCGATTGCTCAGTTTGGCTGGGTGGCCAGCTCTAGGAACAGCCTTGATGGTTCCAAACTTCTTCTATTTAAGAATGATGGAGGACCTTCAATGCTGCAGACATTTTTTGGTACCCTTCCCCAGATCTGTGCCTCAACACAATCCTGTCTCGGAGCTCTACGGACAATTCCTTCGACCTCAGGGCTTGGTTTTTGCTCTGACATGCACTGTCAACTGTGGGACCTTATATAGACAGGTGTTTGCCTTTCCAAATCATGTCTAATCAATTGAATTTACCACAGGTGGACTCCAATCAAGTTGTAGAAACATCTCAGGGATGGTCAATGGAAACAGGATGCACCTGAGCTCAATTTCGAGTCTCATAGCAAAGGGTCTGAATACTTAGGTATTTCTGTTTATAAATTTGTATACATTTGCAAAAAAATAATTGCTTTGTCATTATGGGGTTTTGTGTGTAGATTGCTGAGTTTGTATTTTTATTTTAATCCATTTTAGAATAAGGCTGTAACGTAAAAAAATGTGGAAAAAGTCAAGGGGTCTGAATACTTTCCGAAGGCACTGTACCTGTTTGTTTCAGCTGACAAAGACTGCTGACAGCTCATTATTGCATGTGCAGTGCCTTGAGACATTTATGCTGTCTGCTGACATTTCTGCTAGAGTGTGTAGATTTCACTGTGTGTGTGTGTGTTTGTGTGTGTCGTTGTGTGTGTGTGTTGACTCCTAATTGGCCAATATGTTAATTACACTCAATGGGAGTTCTAACACCAGCTGGCATTAGGGCATGAAAAGTGCCAGGTAACCACTTCTCTAATCACTAATGGACTAGATCAGGGTTTCCCAAACTCGGTCCTGGGGCTCTCCCTGGGTGCACGTTTTGGTATTTGCCCTAGCATTACACAGCTGATTCAAATAATCAAAGGATGAGTAGTTCGTTATTTTAATTAGCTGTGTAGTGCTAGGGCAAAAACCAAAACATGCACCCAGGGGGGGCCCCAGGACCGAGTTTGGGAAACCCTGGTCTAGAACTGGTACCTTGGACAGTGATCTCCAGTCCATGCTGGCACTGCCAATGAACACATGCTTCCTATCAACAACCCAGAAATTGGAGTGCAGTCCGCCTCTGGTCAGAGCTGACATATTCACAAAGCGAACCTCGGCACCTGCAGGGGGAAAACGAAGTCATGGAAGAAGAATACTTTATTGTCTATTTTCTTGAAGAGAATGGAAATGGGTATTTCATCAGCTCAACTCCATGGGATTGGAAGCACAGGGTTGGCTGCAGTGCAGAACCCCAGGAGCAGTTTAGGAGGGAGAAGTAAACTGCCTTGCTGACGGGCACAATCTCAAGACAAGCATTTAGGATACTAAAGCCCTGTTTCTATTGGCCCCTTAAATCAGGGCCAAATTCGAGAAGAAAGGGAAGCTTGCCAATGTGGCCTGTAGCTGACAGACAGATGTACAGGCAGCCTTGGAGGCAGGAGGCAGCCCAATTTGACAAGGAACCCATTAAGTCGGATCCATTTTCATATTCATGTTGTTTGACCTTGTGGACTCAAGTTCAAGGAGTGAGAGTGGAGCTCATACTATGATGGATGTTATATGAAGTGTTTTATAAACTGGGGTGTTCGAGCCCTGAATGCTGATTGGCTGACAGCTGTGGTATATCAGACATTATAAACTGGGTGGATCGAGCCATGAATGCTGATTGGCTGACAGCCGTGGTATATCAGACAGTATACCACGGGTATGACAAAATGTTATATAAAGTGTTGTATCTGCTTTCTTAAGATACATATGAGACACTGTAGCCTACAGATGTAGGATCTTAATTTTAGCCAGTTTGCTACAGCAGTAAAATAATTCTGCAGCAAGAGGAAATGTGAATTACTATGTGGATTATAATTAATGGACATTTTTGTAGGTGTTGATATATTTTTCGTGGAATTTATAAACTTTAAAAGTCTTTTTAAAACTCAAAGACACTACAAGTTTGCATTTCCTGCTGTGCAGGAAAATTCTCAACAACAAAAGAGTGATTCAATTAAGATCCTACATCTATATGTATGCATACTTGGGCACACACAGTACTATAGGCCAACAGTTTGCTATGGCCTATGGGGTGCAGCGATCAATGAATAATACATTGCTGTTTTTGTATATTATGTGGAATGATATGAATGAAGTGTCACTTACCATGCTCTGTTAGTTTCTGCAATTCAGCAGAGTCTGTGAGACTGCTGGCAATCTTCAATTTAACCTCACGAGTCTTGAGGTTGAGCAGTCTCTGGAACAGAAGCTGGCCCTGAGACATAAAGTGATATGTACAGTATGACTGTTATTGTTCCCTTTGCTCTGTGAATGTCCTTATCCAAAGACTGTTACAGGTTTTTGTGTGGTTTAGTATCAATTTCTGCTGCTGGGCGCACTGCTGATTTAATGGAATAGCACTTTGCCAACCAGAACATTTACAGTATAGAATGGTCTCATAGTTTTATAGTTTGCGATATATGAAGAAGAAGAAGAAGAAGAAGAAGAAGAAGAAGTAGATGTGGTATTCTTGTTACATGATACCTGTTTGCCAGAGTTGGGCCATGTCTCCTGGTCCCATGAGTTGAGGTTCCAGACGGGAGATACCACCTCCACTGAGTGCTTGGCCTCGTCCAACAGGCTGTTGAGGCCTGTGGAGAGGGGCACGTGGGTTGTACCATCTATGGAAAGGGGGAGGTCCTCTGGAATGTTCTCCACAAGGACAATGCTGATGAGAAAGCATACAGTTTTAATCATAAACATCATATACATAATTTCAGAGCTCTGAAATCCATGATGCAGACAACTATGGCCTATGTCTATGAAGAGTTTGACTCCCGTCAATGATGATAATGTTGTAGGCATGTAGCTATACTTGTTACGGATAGGTAGCCCTGCAGACTGTTTTGGTCCACTGTAATGACTTTCATTTAGCTAGCGCAAGTATTTGGTTCTGGGTTCCTTGATTATAGTTCCTGTACCTCTTACCGACAGTGTCTGTTACAGTTCTCCTCTGTGATTCCGTCCTCGTCCTCCCCCCAGACGTCTACAGCGGAGAAGATGAGAGCCACCAGCACAGTGAAGCAGCACAGCAGAGCAAAGATGGCTATGCACTTCTGCTGAGACTGGAAGACAGGGAGAAACACACATCATGATTGTGTTCATTAGACACACAACGGAAGAAAGCAGAAGGAAATGTGGATGACTAAAGTGGACTTCTGTTGGGACTGAAAGACAGAGCGAAAGCACAACACATCAAATCAGGGTTGTGTTCATTAGGCACCAAACAGACTGAAACATGGACAGACAGCTTAGACTTGTCTAACGAGAAAATGTTATTTTGTTTTCTGTGGCAAAATACTTAGATATGGTGTGCCCTAATGAATACGACCCTGGAGTTATCCAATAGGAAACACACATGTTTGTTTTCCATTGCAAAATGTTTTAAAATGTATGCCCTAATGAACACGATCCACATCAACACAGTAATCAGTTATGACGTTTCCTGAGTGGAATTAAAAGGAACCTCAATGGAGATATTGAATGCACCTCAACCTAAATCTCAATCTGTCCCCTTGTAATTTGTTTACATCCCAGATTGAGACTAATAGAAATGCAGCCAAGGGAGCAAAACTGACAACTGACAATGGATTTATTAACCACTCCTCAATCTCTCTTTCCTGATTAGGACTAATAGAATCTCAGCCAAGAAGAAAAAATGACAAGATTAACTATTGACAAGTCCATTAGGTCTCAGGTGTTGCACAACAAGAAAATCATCCTCCATTAGATTTGTAAATCAATCGTCAAAACAATTGATCGACAGTCAGGATTTTACGAATCAATAACCCAACTAAATCGTCATTGGACTGTGTAGAGTCAGACATCAGATGTCACAAAGGAAGGGATGGTCCATGGATTCCTTTTCCCTGAGGACCAACACACACACACACACACACACACACACACACACACACACACACACACACACACACACACACACACACACACACACACACACACACACACACACACACACACACACACACACACACACACACACACACACACACACACACACACACACACACACACACACACACACACACACACACACACACAACACACATGCCCAATATTCCTATCTCAGAAATCCTACTTTAAGCTAAGAAGAAGCTGAGGGGACAAGTGAAGTGGAACAGTCTTCCAAACCAAACTGAAGGCAATTTGATTCACAGTAAAACTGTGTTTAAAGGGAAGAAAGAAGGAAAGCACTGATTCATTGAAGTAAAAGAACAGGGGCTTTGGTATGTAGGGATTTTCTACAGCCGCTCTATGCCCGCCTGCTTTGTTCAGGTGCATCAGAGCTGAAAAGATTTTGTTAAACCTTAAACCGGCTGCTTTGCTGTGTTAAGAATGTGTACCACTTTTTTGGGTCTTTTTTTGTCTGTTTACAATCCTTACTTTATGCAATGTATTGTCACGCTATGTGTAGTAGATGTAAATGAAATATTTAATAGTATAAGTATCTACTTTATACAACAGTATTGTGTCTAGAAGACAGTAAAGGGACAGTAAAGATATCATTTTCTTCTTCCTTCTCCTAGTGGGTTTGATGCATGTAGCTTTAATTGAGGGCCAAGTCAATGTGGTCAATGGTCAGAATACAGCTCTTCTGAGAGGTATCCTCAAGAAATCCCGATTTTCGTTCTACATTTAAAAGTGCAGGCTGGCAGTTCTGTTTTGCTTAGCTCGACACTCCTGCAATCTCATTCTCTCGGTTGTTTGGCCCTTTGGCACAACTGTTGACGGCGCCTGTATCAGTGTTGCATTGTGTGTGGCTGTCAGCATCACATTATGTATTCTCTCTCTCTTTTCATCTCCCATTTTGTATTTTAATCAACATCCTCCCTTGGCCCCTGTCAGCTTGTCTTGGGTGAGGGAGCCTTGCCCTGGACCCTTCTTCCATAACTGTAGCTTTTTAAGATTCAATGCAGTCAGGAATTTACCAACATCACAACCTATAAAACGTTTGATAGCTAGACATAGTATTTTCATCACCATCCATCTCTGGCCCCATGTCAGCTCGTTTTGTGCCTTTGGGTGAAGGAGCAGTGGAATTTCCCCCTTCTTCCAGTAGCTTTTTAAAACTTAAAGCAGTCAGAAATTTGCCATCATTCACAACCTAGTGAGGGAAACAAGTATTTGATCCCCTGCTGATTTTGTAAGTTTGCCCACTGACAAAGAAATGATCAGTCTATAATTTTAATGGTAGGTTTATTTGAACAGTGAGAGACAGAATAACAACAACAAAAAATATAGAAAAACGCATGTCATAAATGTTATAAATTGATTTGCATTTTAATGAGGGAAATAAGTATTTGACCCCCTCTCAATCAGAAAGATTTCTGGCTCCCAGGTGTCTTTTATACAGGTACTGAGCTGAGATTAGGAGCACACTCTTGCAATGATCATGAGAATGGTGAGGAATCAGCCCAGAACTACACAGGAGGATCTTGTCAATGATCTCAAGGCAGCTGGGACCATAGTCACCAAGAAAACAATTGGTAACACACTACGCCGTTAAGGACTGAAATCCTGCAGCGCCCGCAAGGTCCCCCTGCTCAAGAAAGCACATATACAGGGCCATCTGAAGTTTGCCAATGAACATCTGAATGATTCAGAGGAGAACTGGGTGAAAGTGTTGTGGTCAGATGAGACCAAAATCGAGCTCTTTGCCATCAACTCAACTCGCCGTGTTTGGAGGAGGAGGAATGCTGCCTATGACCCCAAGAACACCATCCCCATCATCAAACATGGAGGTGGAAACATTATGCTTTGAGGGTGTTTTTCTGCTAAGGGGACAGGAAAACTTCACCGCATCAAAGGGACGATGGACGGGGCCATGTACCGTCAAATCTTGGGTGAGAACCTCCTTCCCTCAGCCAGGGCATTGAAAATGGGTCGTGGATGGGTATTCCAGCATGACAATGACCCAAAGCACACGGCCAAGGCAACAAAGGAGTGGCTCAAGAAGAAGCACATTAAGGTCCTGGAGTGGCCTAGCCAGTCTCCAGACCTTAATCCCATAGAAAATCTGTGGAGGGAGCTGAAGGTTCGAGTTGCCAAACGTCAGCCTCAAAACTTTAATGACTTGGAGAAGATCTGCAAAGAGGAGTGGGACAAAATCCCTCCTGAGATGTGTGCAAACCTGGTGGCCAACTACAAGAAACGTCTGACCTCTGTGATTGCCAACAAGGGTTTTGCCACCAAGTACTAAGTCATGTTTTGAAGAGGGGTCAAATACTTATTTCCCTCATTAAAATGCAAATCAATTTATAACATTTTTTACATTAATTTTTCTGGATTTTTTTGTTGTTATTCTGTCTCTCACTGTTCAAATAAACCTACCATTAAAAATTATAGACTGATCATTTCTTTTTCAGTGGGCAAACGTACACAATCAGCAGGGGATCAAATACTTTTTTCCCTCACTGTAACTTTTGCAAGTGAAGCAAAACAGTCAGAAAAAACAATGCAACCTTCGACAGTTAGTAAAACAAAAATTGTCACTCCTCAGATATAACATGTTGAGAATGGCCAGTCCCCATAGAAAAATGATGTCAAGTCAATTTCAAACCCGGGCCATCATCCACTCTCCACCCTGTCTGTCTCGAGCGCTCATGCTGAAAGAAGGAGAAGCAGCCGGATGCACTTTGCACTCGTCTGTCACGCTGAGGGAACGAGGGAACCGCTCCTCCCTTCAATTAATTTAGCCGAGTCAAGGACCTCGCCACGTTTCACTGGTGTTAATACCCACGGGGAAATTATTCCGCAATAAATACAAGCCAGACCTGTCAGATAAATGAAGACATTTTCACAGAGACTATCCTGGCATAAACCCAGAATGACATTTTCTGTTATAATTTTTCATTCCACAGCAAAATGTTCTTTAATTAAATCATTTAAAAAACACTATTCTGTGTGACCAATTGTATCTGTATGCAATTAATTCCAAGTAAATAATATGCAGACTACTCAGCGTTTTCTTCTGGATATCATAATCAACCGTGGTCCTCTGTAGCTCAGCTGGTAGAGCACGGCGCTTGTAACGCCAAGGTAGTGGGTTCGATCCCCGGGACCACCCATACACAAAAATGTATGCACGCATGACTGTAAGTTGCTTTGGATAAAAGCGTCTGCGAAATGGCATATTATATTATGCAAATCTCATTATGATCAAGCATTAAAATCTCAGATAGAAAGGTTACGCAACCGAAATGAGGCAGTAAGTTCTGTAAGGACCTTAACACCCAATTCTGTATAATATAATAAATAAGAATATACACAAATCATTCTGAAGAATAGAAAAAGGAAGATAATAAATGTATCAATCTCAAACTCACCTTCATAGGCTCCTGTGGCTGTGTAGTTGGTGCTGCCATGAGTCCTTTAAACTTCACACACCTGGTCAACTAACGGTCAACTAACGATTAATCACATTAGACATTTTCCAGTCTCAGTGACCTAGTAAACCATGACCCTGTCCTCGTAAACCATAACCATGACACTGTCCTCACAGTGTCCCCTTGTCCTCATAATGCTGTTGCTCTTGTCCCGGCGATGCGTGTGGTGTAGTCGAAGGTCTGTCCCGGTAAGCCCTGACATGGTCTCTCCTCTTCCTCTCTGGCTCTTCCTTTGTGTGCTCTTCTACTCTGTCCACAGTGATAGTGTGAAAGTGTGTGTGTTGGGATGTGTGTGTGTTCTCTCTTCTCCCCTCCACACTGACAGAGGCAAACTGAGAGGTAGAGTAGGAACAGGACTGTGCCCACCCCTTCAGTCCAAACATCCAATGTAAAAGCTCTCTCCAAGCCGATGCCTCATCCCTCCCTCCCCTCTTCCTCCATCCCACCCGCTCCTCTCCTTTCCTTCCATCCTTCCTTCCTTCCTTCCTTCCTTCCTTCCTTCCTTCCTTCCTACCTGCCCTGTGAAGCAAAACTCAACCGGCAGAAAGCAAATGGACCTTGCTAGGGACTAGAATGAAATCCCCCAAAATACCCACTGGGTATAGGGCAGAAACTAAAGCAGCTGCAGAACTAACAGAATGTTTATGGTATTGATTCAACTGCACCTCCATCCACCCAACATATTCATGTGATGGATATAGGTATACACAAATACATTATACATACAATGTACAAAGAACACACACATGCACACACACACACACAAGCACACACACAAGCACACACACACACACACACACAAGCACACACACACAAGCACGCACACACAGCATATCTTATAATTCTACGCATCAAGCCAAGATCACTGATAAAACTCTATTATAAATCTTCAAATGACGACATAATAGTATGTTTGTTTTCTATGCCCTACATTTCAATTTCCTGTGTTATAATCATTTTAATTCACTCACTGTGCTTAAGGCCATCAACATCCATAACATCTCTACACCAGCCCAGACCCCTTTCTACTCTAGTCTACAGTCTTCAGCTGAAGATTAAACACTCTTGCACTCTGCAGTGCACAAAAGCCCATAAAAGACTGCAGTGAGGAAGTGAGGAAGAATCAAGCATGCATGAAACTAAACCACTTTCATCTTTCTCTTCAACTCTAATGTTCTGTCTCTTTTTTATTCACAGGGATAACTTGGCATGGCTTAGCACTAGCGAAGACGGAAGAGCATATGCTGCCTACTGCAGGAGGCTACCGCTGAATCTAATTCGGCATAGGGGGTTGGAGCCCATAGGGAGAGAGGGAAGGAGAGAGAGAGAGAGAGAGAGAGAGGAGGGAGAGAGAGAGAGAGAGAGAGAGAAAAGTTGAGTTAAAGACAATTTACCTCAAACAACCTTGGGAGTCTGAGGAATACATCTTTCACATCCATCTAACTCCCCATCTTGACCCATCTATCTCTGCTAAGTGTCTGAGATCTCATCCATAAAGTTGACAAACTTGCCACACTGACACTCTATAACACCCACTTTAGGGATATTAATGTACGCTAAACCAGCTTGCAGTATAAACAGTTGTATCCTCAATAGTCTCAGTTAAAGGAACGTGCAAGAGGAGGCCTGGAATCGAGGCTACATCCTCAATGACATAGAATATGAGAACAGAGCTTGACTCATGTTTCAATACAATGTGAGGAAATGTTACTTCTACTCTACTGTCAATTAAGTGTGTATAATGGTAGTTCCAGGATATATGATGGTTGATGAGAGGGAGGGTAGGATGCTCATACTGCACTACAGCATCCTAGAGGGATAATGTGATGAGGAACCCCACTGGGCTAGAGAGAGAGGTGCCCTCTGGGTGTCACCCTCTGACTGGAGGAGAGAGAGAGAGAGACAGAGACAGAGAGAGAGAGAGAGAGAGAGAGAGAGAGAGAGAGAGAGAGAGAACGGGAGAGAGCGAAAGAGAGAGAGACAGAGACAGAGAGAGAGAGAGAGAGAGAGAGAGAGAGAGAGAGAGAGAGAGAGAGAGAGCGGGACAGGGTAGACAGGAAGGGTTGAGTCGTCCTGAGAGAGGTGAATGTTGCCAAAGGTGGGTGCACACGCTGGAACGCACACACACACTGGACGAAAGAGGAAATGACAAACTTTTACTTTTAGATATAGTTGATGCCTAGAAACCCCTAATGGTGGCAGGAGGTCACACTTTAACATGTCTGTGTACTTTCTCAAATCATATTTAGGTCAGTGGGTTTCTCAATGTTTTTTAATTTTTTTTAATAAAAAAATAGTCAGCTCATATAGTCAGAAAAACTCCTGTTTTAACCCTGGAGATAACCCTCCCATTGAGCTTTCAAATTCAAATAAAATCAAATTGTATTGGTCACATGCGCCGAATACAACAGGTGTAGACTTTACAGCAAAATGCTTACTTACGAGCCCATTCCCAAAAGTGCAGAGTTAAAAAGTAAGACAAATATTTGCTAAATAAAAAAAAGAAATAGTAACACAATAAAAACAACAACGAGGCTTTATACGAGGAGTCCTGGCACCGAGTCAATGTGCAGCGGTTGTCACGTTCGTTGTATAAATGGTCGGACCAAGGTGCAGCGTGGTATGCATACATGTTTAATATATTAAATAAACACTTGACAAAATAACAAAAGCAACTGAACATGAAGTTCTAAACGCTAACAGCAACAAGCTGAAACAGAATCAGAAACAAGATCCCACAACTAAAGGTAGGCAAAATGGCTGCTGAAGTATGATCCCCAATCAGAGACAACGATCGACAGCTGCCTCTGATTGGGAACCACACCCGGCCAACATAGAAATACATAACATAGAATGTCAACATTCACACCCTGACCAAACTAACTAGAGAATAACAGGGTTCTCAAGGTCAGGGCGTGACAGCGGTACGAGGTAGTGGAGGTGATTGAGGTGATATGTACATGTGGGAATCAGGACACATAATGAACAGAGTAGCAGCAGCCTATGTGAAGTGTGAAAGTGGGTCCTATGTGTGTGTGTGTGTGTGTGTGTGTGTGGTGTCAATATGCAAGTGTGTGTGTGTGTGTGTGTGTGTGTGTGTGTGTGGTGTCAATATGCAAGAGTGTGTGTGTGTGTGTGTGTGTGTGTGTGTGTGTGTGTGTGTGTGTGTGTGTGTGTGTGTGTGTGTGTGTGTGTGTGTGTATGTTTGTGTGTTGGAGTGTCAGTGTAGTATGTGTGAGTGTGTTGGTAGAGTCTAGTGAGTGTGCATAGAGCCAGTCAAGGGAGTCAGTGCAAAACAATTAAGAAATAAATAGTAAAGGGGGTCAATGTAAATAGTCTGGGTAGCCATTTGATTAACTGTTAAGCAGTCTTATGGCTTGGGGGTAGAAGCTGTTCAGGTGCCTTTTGGTCACAGACTTGGTGCTCCGGTACCACTTGTCGTGCATTAGCAGAGAGAACAGTCTATGACTTGGGTGGATGGAGTCTTTGACAAATTTTAGGGCCTTCCTCTGACACCGCCTGGTATAGAGGTCCTGGATGGTAGGGAGTTTGGCCCCAGTGATGTACTTGGCTGTACGCAATACCGTCTGTAGCGCCTTGTGGTCAGATGCTGAGCAGTTGGCATACCAAGCGGTTATGCAGCCAGTCAAGATGCTCTCAGTGGTGCAGCTGTAGAACATTGTGAGAATATGAGTGCCCATGCTAAACCTTTTCATGCCAATTCCAGTGCTGTTTCATTGCACTGGCTCAGAGCAGCCTCTTCACACTGTAATTCTCCAATAGAGACATCATTATTTTCATGTACTGTCTATGGCCCAGCGCACTCACACTAGAGACTGATTAAGACTACCTCAGCTATACAAGGGACTACTACTGCAGAAGTCTCACACTTCACACTGTGGAGCTCCACTCAACCACAGAGAGACATGTCTGGGAGGGTGTTGTGTTACGGTGGTTACAGTGTGTGAGAGGGGAAGATACAGATGGAGGATCTTCATTTGAGCCAGTTTGCTACAGCAGGAAAATAACCCCTTAAGTTTGGCATTTCAATTTGTTTTGCTTAAAAGAGAGAAGAAGTTAAAACAAAGTTTGGAGCTCGATCGACACTATTTAAATCAGGCATTGAGTGTGTGTGGGGCGGACAGTGGAAGTAATCAATTCTCATTGGAGGCAGCGAAGCACACTTCCTCGGCTGCAATCCTCCAGTGGCCACCTCCAGGCATGCCAAATGACTGGGCTGAGAATGGACGATGCTAGCTTACAGTCTAATGGTAATATATTGAATATAGATGGTGGATTTCCTATTCTAGAGATCCTGCCATCCTCCCACACACGATACAGTATATGCTGTAGTGGAACACTTGAGTTTAGGTTGGAGGGTGAAGGCTGTTATAATGCTCCATTGCATGGCATTTGAAAACAAAGAATTACAATTTTATATAGTGTCACATTTTGACTTGAGGACAGCTAACCTAGGCCCAATCTCTTTGATGGTCACGGCACTTGGTCAACTGGTTCCTGCATGAGTTGAAATTATTTCAAATGCTTGACCTGTGTCTGATTGAGCTTGCCTAGCTAAATGGAACTAATACAATAGTCCTAAAAATTCTCAGCCACAAAAGAGTGATCAAATTAAGATCCTACGTCTGTAGGGGACTTGTACCATATGGTCAGTTTTGAATGAGGATGGAGGGATCACAAGTCATTGATGAAATGTGCGTTTTGGACTACAGTGAATCCAACTAAATCTCCTACATCTTTATTCTGCCCCTCACGTGTCATAAGAATGCTATAATATATTCCCTTTACCCTCTTGTACAGGCACCGTTGTGAAGGTGATCAAGGTACACGTGATAGAGGTGACACAGGTACACAGTTTTTCACCTTCACACATAATACCATGACTCATTCACACGTTCCAAAACAGGAACAGGAAATAGGTGTTTGTGTGTCCGCATGTCGGCGTGGTTTCATGGTGAGGGTCAATGTCTGTGATGTGCTGAGTGGGCCGTCGGGCACCAGCGCCATGGGAGACTGGCGCCATGCCCACGAGGGGAAGAGAGGGTGAGAGGGAGAAGAGAGAGAGAGAGAGAGAGAGAGAGAGAGAGAGGAGAGAGAGATGAGAGAGTAGAATAGAGGAGAGATAGCTAGATCGCTCGAGAGAGCTAGAGCGCTAGAGATATGAGACGATCTATCCTGCCTATAGAGAGCTATCTCAGCTCTCTCTACATGCCTCGACTCTTCGCTCTATCTTCTCTAGACCAGAGAGAAAAACTTTGGTGCTGGAGCGAGCTGAAGGTGAAAAATGACCAAAGTTTTAATACTGGCAGGAAGTTCCAAGTGGGTCGAAAATAGAGATAAATTACAGATGTAGATCTTAATTTGATCAACTCTTTTGTTGTTGAGAATTTTCCTGCACAGCAAAAAATCCTAACTTGTAGTGTATTCGAGGTTTCAAAAGGCTTCTAAAGTTTGTAATTTACACTTTAAAATGTCAGACTTGCCCTAACAAAAAATGTATCAACCCCTACAAAACATTTCCATTCATTATAATCCACATAATAATTCAAATGTCCTGTTGCTAGAGCATTAATTTCCTGCTGTAGCAAACTGGCTCAAATTAAGATCCTACAACTGTAGAAGCCGCCGGTCCACAAAGTCTCTGTCTATAGCTGGAGTCTCTGTCTGACTCTGTAGCTGCTCGGCTTTCCCAATAATTCATTTCTTGTAATGCAGCCCTGCGTAATCCATAAACCAGCCCAATGGATTGTAAGGCATAAATACTGATATTGCAGATTTTAACACACATTTAGTAATTTTGTTATTATAGCATGTTTAATTCTACACATGTAAGGTAGTTCCCAAATTAACAGGATGGGTTCTGGAAGTGAGCATAAAACATCATTATCTCATGAAATTAAGTCAGTGAACTAGCTATGAAGACATTAAAATGTATTTAATTGATAGTGTGTGGTGTTCCTAAAGGTTAAGTTCTGGGGTCGATGTGTATTTAACCTTTTGAAAAGACATAATCTACTGATGAGTGCTGCATGGTGTTAGCGTGTGAGGCTGAGGTGGGTCTGGGCTTTATAAAGGAACAGTAGTGAGTGTAGTGTAGCAGACAGACTGAGGACAGACTGTACATAACAGTACTACAGTGGCACGTCTCCCTGTTCCGACATGAGTTTTCAGGGCAGGGTCTCTACTCACCAGAACTGGGTTCAAATACTATTTGAAATCATTTCAAATACTTGACCTGTCTGATTGAGCTTGCTTAGCGAAATGGAATACAATAGTCCTAAAAGTGTAAACCCTGCCCATCTGGCACTGCAGGCAGGCTCAAGCAAATGCTGAAATTATTATTATTTTAAAACAATTTGAACCCAGGTCAAGTACATAACAATTACTATTGTGGCACATCTCTCTCTTCCCTTCCGACATGAGTGTTCAAGGCAGGTATCTACTATACTCACTATACTTAAAGCAGGCAGAAATCCCAGTCCCTTACCACCCCCAACCATTAAATATTTACACTCAATTTCAGCTAAAAAGCTCACTGCCTCCAAGAGGGCATGCTCAGAGGGAGAGGAAGTCTCTAGGCTACGGAGGAGGAGTTTAGCCTAAGTCTGTGTAACCCTAACAAAAGGTCAAAACACGACTCCCTTAACTTAAACGCCAATGTAGAAAATAGAACCTGAAGCAGAAACCAACACTTAAGTTAGTTTGAGCTTTGGCAGCGGGCATTTAAAATTAAAAGAGAGAAGAAGTTAAAACAAAGTTTGGAGCTCGATCGGCACTATTTAAAGCAGGCGTTGAGTGTGTGTGAGGTGGACAGTGGAAGTAATCAATTCTCATTGGAGGCAGCGAAGCACACTTCCTCGGCTGCAATCCTCCGGTGGCCAGCTCCAGGCATGCCAAATGACTGGGCTGAGAATGGACAATGCTAGCTTACAGTCTAATGGTAATATATTGAATATAGATGGTGGATTTCCTATTCTAGAGATCCTGCCATCCTCCCACACACGATACAGTATATGCTGTAGTGGAGCACTTGAGTTTAGGTTGGAGGGTGAAGGTTGTTATAATGCTCCATTGCATGGCATTTGAAAACAAAGAATTACAATTTTATATAGTGTCACATTTTGACTTGAGGACAGTTAACCTAGGCCCTGTCGCTTTGATAGTCATGACACTTGGCAAACTGGTTCCTGTATGAGCATTTCAATCAGCTTACATTCATATGAATGTATTCCCTGCGGAGATCCTGTCCCAAATCAATTACATTTAATCCAAGTTGAGTGGATTTAATTTTGGGGTTAGACAAGAGATCGAAGTCAACCATCCCTCAAATTATTCTCAGCCAGTACCCCAGCCCAACCTGTCTCTAGCCTCTGTCCCCTACTAATACTACTGTACGACATTCCTCTGGAATATCCCCAACTTCCCCCAGTGTGTATAAGGTGTTTTTAGGGGTGTGTTCAGGGCACTCACATGTTCCAGCTTCTCTTTGCTGCGGAGCCAGATGGTTGCAGAATAGTCCTGTTGCTGGATAGCACTGTTGGCGTAGATGTCAGAGAGGTGGGGTGCGTGGAGGGGTTCCCCTCGACCCCTCATCCCATGGCCTCCCGATACCATGATGCACACACACACACACACACAAAACACAACACACGCACACACTCTCACAAACAATCACTTAAAATCTCCTCTTCTCCTCTTCTGGCCTCTTCCCTCCTCTGTTCTGTATCACTGTTAGTCTATAGCTGGGCTATGGCTAGAACAGCCATCCAGTCAATGAGTGAGCCAAGCCCTTCTGACCCACTGTGGATCTGTGAGTGGGTGACTGTCTATAGCTCTTCAAACCCACCACCGTGGTTCTCTTCTCACTCACGCTGTCTGACTGTCTGGCGTGAGTGGGGGCAGCTAGGGTTGGGCAGTGGGTGGGCTGGTTCCTCGTGGGCGCTGGGGCTCAACAGGGAGTGCTGCAGCAGACGAAGTGAGTGCCAGACACACTTAAAGGCAGTGAGTGAGTGAGGGTGAGTGTATGTGTGTGTGTGTGTGTGTGTGTGTGCATGCACTACATTCAGATTAGAAGAGAGGTTATTACATCAGTGAGGAAATCTATTTAACAGACAATAACGCTATACTATGTTTATCTCTGTTAGTCCAGTGTTGTCTATAGCCTAACCTACTGCACATGTCAGAGTATATCACTGTAATGCACGCTAGTGGGTTAGCTAATAAAGTATTGATTTGACACTGCCTCGACTACATATAGGCTGCTGTGATATTGCCTCTGCCTCTAAGGGCATTTCATTGGTACATACAGAATGCCTTTTAGGCCGTTATATATAGTTTCACAGTGCCGATATAGCCATATAAGTCTTGAATGGATGGAGGCTGTGTAAATACCCGAGCAAAGAGACAGGAAATGGAAGTGTTTATTGGCCCTTGAACGATTTATGTCACGGCTAGAGAACCTTTCCGCCACAAGAATTGATTTTGCAGTGATTGTTCTAGTTTCATTACCAAAATTATACAGCCATCATTGCATCAATACTGCACAGCTAACCTGATTCTTAATAGGTGAATTCTCCTTTGGCAGTAGTTCCAATATAGCCTATGCTTAGAAAAGTAGGATATTATTTGGAGGCCATAATTGTTAAAGATTTCACAATTTACTTACTCACAACCCTCCGTCTCTCCACTCCAGGATGGAAATTGCAGTATTTCTGCCAATACTTTTTTCCCTCCAGTGTTTTGTGAACAGCATACTAATTTATCCTTCTCCCCTACAGCCAGGTTTGCATAGGCAAACTTGCTGACACAATACTTTTTGTTATTTTTTGTCCTCCTCAAACCTTCATCCAGTCGACCACAAGCAATAATAGTTCATTGATGGAAAGTATAGAATATGTAAATGAAAACGCCCTATTGCACACACAAGCTTGTTTGGTGCCATACATCTTAGCCTAGTCAATGTGAAGGAGTAAAAGTGCTAAGTCATCATCACTGACAGCATATGTATAACTTTTTGATATCCATGTTATGTAATATGGAACAATGACTTTGATACAGTATTCTACTGTGAGAAGTGTATCAGTAATAAACAGAATGCCGCATAAATGTCCAGTAATTTAATGGAAAAACAACTTTATCCTTGATATAAACCAATATCCATTGGATATGTAAAAGTATTGAGGTACTGCCTAGGTCCCCAAGTAATCGAATTTGTCAAAACTAGTCCAGTTGCGGGTAATTTTTTTCTATGCACACTCACAGGACTCTACACACTCCAACACAGTCATAACATGCACACACATTTATACTGACAAAAGGACAACGACGCCAGTGCACTCTTAATCTTTCATTTCCATGTAAAACCCCAAGACATTCAAAACCACAGTACAGGAACAAGCCTCAACTTAATTCTAAAAACCCAAGATTCTCCCAATAGAATTGGAGCTCCAAAAGTGCACGTTGTGCACCAGCAGTCTCAATAGCACAGTATGACAAAGGGGAACGGCTTTTTACAGTGCAGGGGGATTAAGCAAGTGGAGCAAAATATCTTAATAAACAGTCATTAACAGAGCACCGCAGATGGCCCTTCTGAGCCATAGAAATATAATTACAGAATGGAAATGGGTTTGACTTGAATGGGAAGGTCCATTCTAATCATTATATTTCTATGTTCTGTCTGACCCACCCAACCTCTGTGTGTCCTGTTGTATGTTCCGTTTAATAGTGACTGAAAGAGGTCAGACAATGGGGTGGAGTTGAGTGGAGTGTGGCGCAGCACAGAGGGAGAAAGCAGGGTGGGTTATCATACTGTAGCCAGGGGGTCTTTACAGTAGAGGCTGACTAATTGACTAAAATATATAATAGCATTTACAGTTATTGTGCCAACATGTATTTAAAAATATGGATAATATGGATATCTGGATATGAAATTCACATGAAAAAAAAAACAGTCAATAATAATCATGCATTTTATTCAAAATCATTCAAAAGTAAACAAACATAAATCATTTAACCATTATCTTTCAAAGATAACAAATAAATGATGACAATTAGAAAAACCTATCCGTACAAAATATACAAACAGAAACATGTAAAAGGTTTGACATAAAGACAATAAAGACATTACTAAAAGCCCCAAAATGCTATTTTCTTTATTAATAATCCAGCTGTTTTAGCTGAGAAACATAAACAGTTACATCAGGTTACATTCATGTGTAAACATTGGTATGAGGCAGGACATCCAGATATGGGTATATCATAGAGGTAGATAGAGGACTCTAGTGCCCAAAAGCCAGTTTTAGCATGGGCAGCGCCATTGAGGACTTTCACCATTTTTAAGTAGTCAACTGGGTGGGACTTCCTATGGGTTAAGGAAGGATCACATAATTCCATCCAGGTCATCAGGAGGAATCAGCCAATTAATTATACTTGTGAACAAACATTCCATAACTGCAGGTGGCAGTAATTCGCCAACCTTGGCTTTAAACCTGTTCAAACAACACACTCCAGGTGGCAGTACCCACCCTTTCAGTTTGTTTGCCAACTCAGAATTATTAGAATAAATGTAACTACTTCAAATTGGAGATGGCCTCAATGATGCTGCATGCTCTCACAGACAATGGGACAATGTTGTGTCCTCTAACTATCTCTATTGGGTATATAGAGTTACTTCCTGGCCCATTTTACTTCCTGGGTCCATTTAATTTCTAGTTCCATTTCATGTTTTCTCTCAGCCCTTGGTCATGTTCAGTAGGGTACACCGTAGCAAAATGTTTTGCAATGCATAATGAAAATGAGTGCTTACCTTCAAAATGTTTTCTCCCGACTGAACATGACCCTGGTCTCTGACTATCCCTGTCTATACTGGCTTTTACTCAGATCTCTTTGCTTCATAAGAGTTCTTCAAGTACGTTAACCAGAACACTAGTGTGTGTTCCATGACTCAATCACAGACATGACTCAATCACAGACAGCCGGAGGCGCCTTAACTGAGGTGGACGGGCTAATAGTAATGGCTGGAATGGAATGGTATTGACACATCAAACACATGGTTTCCTTGTGTTTGATACCATTCCATTCACTTCACTCCAGTCATTATTATGAGCTGTCCTCCCCTCACCAGCCTACTGTGGACTCAATCATAATTGATAATCAAAACCAGTTCCCAATCAAAACCAGTTCCAATCAAAACCAGCATCCACAAGGAGTACACCAAGACCTGGTTTGGTCAACAGATGTTACGTATCCTTACTATCGACAGATATATCCTTACTAACACCACCACTCTGTGGTGAATCACCTCAGCTTTAACATGTGCAGATCAACAAACGTTAGCTTAGCTATATCTCCTAGCCTGGGTGCCAGTCTGTTTCTGGTCTCTTGCCAACTCCTTATGCAATTGTCATGTCAGACATGAGGCACCCAGGCTATTTCCTCCCCTCTTCTATCTTATAGTTTCATCAACACTCTCATGATTTTGACAATGGGCACTTTGTGACATAATACACTTGGATATGGGGACTACTTTCAGGAACTACTTTTTCAGGGAGCTACTTTACCACCTAGCCTACAGTAGTTAGTTATTAGTAACCTACAGTACAGCTATCTTTGATGCATCATTCTTAAGACATACTGTATCACTCCACAAGGGAAGGCATGGATGGGGGAATTATAAATATTTTACACATTTAAATGGATACATAACACTGTACATACCCTATTTCTTTTCATCTGAATAAATTTAGTGGAAAAATCTGATATTAGAACAAGCGCAGCAAGCTGCAAGTGCTACAGGTCAGCTAACAGATATGATATATTTTCATATTCACAATAGTTGATGAGCTATGCTATGCATAATGGCGGAATATTTGAAATAATATTTTCACAAAGACTGAATTCTATTCTCCAATGCTGAACCATGGTGTCCATTTAGGTTTTGTTGTAATTTGGTGTAGCAGACAGTCGATCAGGCAACAGTCAAATGCAAGCTTACCAGTCAAATGCAAGCTTATCAGTCAAAGCAGAGACTTCATTGCTTGTAAATGGTAGCCTACACACTAAGAAATGAGGGTTCCTCAAGGGTTCTTTGTGAAGGGTGATGGTTAAATGTAGGGGCGGTGGCTCATTAGAATATTTTGGGGCCGTGGTTTGCGCACAACTATTTTTGTCCAACCGTGAGTCAGAGTGTCATTTCAGTTGATCTAAACGGTTGTGTTATGCGGTTTAATATTATATATGGCTATAGCTAGTGACAGATGCATGTATGGCCTTGTGTCAGTTGATAATAATAATAATAATAATAATAATAATAATAATATGCCAATTAGCAGACGCTTTTATCCAAAGCGACTTACAGTCATGTGTGCATACATTTTTACATATGGGTGGTCCCGGGGATCGAACCCACTACCCTGGCGTTACAAATGGTTGACTAAGTCAGTAGTTCTCAATTCTCTCTTCAGGAACCTCCAGCTGTTCCAGAGTTAGCACACCTGATTCAACTTGTTAATAAACACAATCAAAACCTATGGAATTTTAACAATATAATATGTCTATTAAACAAGAATTAAAAACCCTGTACGCTTTTACTTGGAGATTGAGAAAGGTTCTTTATAGAACCATTCTCCATTAAAAAAGGGTTCTATATAGCCCCCAAAAGGATTTGTAACCATAGCGGAACCCTTTTTTGGCGCTATGTAGAAACTTTTTTAATGGAAAAGAATTAAACCTTATGAGTATGGTTATTTATAGAACCTTAAAAAAAGGTTCCATGTAGCACCAAAAAGTGTTCCGCTATGGTTACAAGCCAAAGAACCCTTATTTGCCACTACATAGAACCATTTGTTTTTAGTGTGTAAAGCTGCACGTTGTCACACAATCAGCAACAATGTCGAATGCAAACAGAATCATATCAAATGTATTTTGAAAAGTCATCAATCAAGCAGTAATAGGTGCAGTTAGCAGATCATAATGCAAAATACTTATTGATACTTTTCAAACGTGTTCAAGAATATTGATACAGTAGTAACGGACTGTAGGACATGTACGGGTCCATAGATTGTATTGACAGTATATAATCCTTTCACAACCTTTCTATACACATAGAATAAGCCCATTGTTGGCTCCAATTAATTTGCCATGAACAAACTGATTGGCATGACATAGACAAAGATTAACAATGGTTGTTTACTTCTCCTTTGGTCAGGTCTGATGTCCAGGAGGTTTGTCCAGATATTGAAGGAAATATCAACCCACTGGGCATACACTAGTTGAATCAACGTTGCTTCCACGTCATTTCAATTAAATTATGTTGAACCAACGTGGAATAGACGTTGAATTGACGTCTGAGCCCAGTGGGAACCCCCTCTCTACAAGTCTTTTACCATCCTCCCTAGTAGTGAGCCTGAATCAGGGCCCCTCCAAGCAAGTGTTTAGGTAGTTGTACTGTAGTGGTGTGTTCTAGATCCAGCATCCTCCTCATTTATGAACCACACAGTTCTGTTCTCCACCACTAGAAGGCAGGTTATTATTCACATGGAGTCCCAGGTCTCTCTCTGCAACCTGGGTAGAGGTGCCTGAGGCCCCCGAGGAGGGGCCACCGCTGGGGGCCGACAGGGTGCTGCTAGAGGGGCCTTCTCCACTACTACCTCCAGGAGGGTGACCCGCAGCGGAGGGTCCCGCTGCCCCAGGACTGACCCTCTGCAGGTCGGTCAGAGGGCTGGTCAGTCCCAGGCTGGTGAGGGCATCCAGGGTGCCGTCCGGATCCACCATCACATCAATCACTGTGGAGCAAAGAGGAGAAGGAGAAGGTCTATCAATCAGTCAACTAAGTTCCAAGATGGCGTAGAAGTGCGGTCGTGTACTCTGTAGTATGTCCGTGTAAATAGCCAGTTTTTTTTTTTTTTTGTCTCTTTCGTATATATTTCTCAATCACACTTTTCGTCCTTCAACGGATTCTATTATTTCTTTAACCTTTTTATCCAGAACCTCCAGTTGAAACTAGCCAGCTAACTAGCTACTTGCTATTAGCCACCGTTAGCGGTTTTCACCATTGTCCGTGGCATGCACTACCTACCAGCCAGCTCTAGCCTGGACTATTATCGGCCAGTCTGCACTGTGTGCACAGCGCGCTATCAACCAAGAACATATCGGATTTTCTGCTGGAATCACTGAATCACTGGACCTTAACACCGGATCATCGCAACTAGCTGGCTGCAACCGAATGGATGTTGTTGGCTAATCACCACTGCCCCCGAAGCAAGCACCAGTTAGCCTTGAGCTAGCCTCGAGCCAGGCCCATCTCCCGGCTATCTACCTCTCTGTCAACCGGACGGGACCTCCTAGTTTCGACACGGAGCCCCGCCCATCCATCACGACTGGTCTGCCGACGTAATCGTCTGATGTGGTTTCAAAAGGCTTCCCGTTGCGACGACCACAAAGATCCATCTGCTAGCCCCGGCCCGCTAGCACACGCAATCAACAGCCGTGCTTCCTGCTCGCCTGTGCTGTAGCAGCTATTCGAACTGCTCCCGGTCTCACCAATTGCTGTTCACTGGACCTTATGATCACTCAGCTGCACAGCTGATGCCTGCTGGACTGTTCCTTTACACGGTACCCCCATCCTGTTTATCTGTCCTGTTTATCTGTTTAGCCTCAGCCCAAACTTTCGTCGCCATTCCAGTTGTTGTCTTAGCTCTCTCGAATAACACCTGTGATTGCTTTATGCCTCTCTCCCATGTCAATATGCCTTGCCTATTGCTGTTCCGGTTAGTTCTTATTATACAATTTCACTGTAGAGCCCCCAGTACCGCTCAACCAGCCTCAGAGAGCTCCTTTGTCCCACCCTCCATACACGCGGAGACCGGCTCAATCGGTGCCTCCAGTGATGTTATCTCTTTCATCGTTACCCAACGCTTAGGTTTACCTCCACTGTACTCATATCCTTCCATATCCTTGTCTGTACATAATGCCCTGAATCTATTCTACAACACCCGAAAATCTGCCCCTTTTATTCTCTGTACCCAATGCACTAGAAGACCAGTTCTTAAAGCCTTTAGCCGTATCCTTATTCTACTCCTCCTCTGTTCCTCTGGTGTTGTAGATGTTAACCCAGGCCCTGTAGCCCCCAATATCACTCCTACTCCCCAGGCGCTATCATTTGTTGACTTCTGTAACCGTAAAAGCCTTGTTTTTTTGCATGTTAACATCATAAGCCTCCTCCCTAAGTCTGAGTTACTCACTGCGTTAGCACACTCCACCAACCCTGATGTTCTAGCAGTGTCTGAATCCTGGCTTAGGAAGACCACCAAAAACTCTGAAATGTCCATCCCCAACTACAACATTCTCCGTCTAGATAGAACTGCCAAAGGGGGCGGAGATCTACTGTAGAGATAGCCTGCAGAGCTCTATCATACTATCCAGGTCTGTGCCCAAACAGTTTGAGCTTCTACTTCTAAAAATCCACCCCTCCAGAATTAAGTCTGTCACTGTTGCCGCTTGCTACAGATCCCCCTCAGCCCCCAGCTGTGCCCTGGACACCATATGTGAATTGATTGCCCCCCATCTATCCTCAGAGTTCGTACTGCTTGGTGACCTAAACTGGGATATGCTTAACACCCCGGCCGTCCTACAATCTAAACTAGATGCCCTCAATCTCACACAAATTATCAAGGAACCTACCAGGTACAACCCTAAATCCGTAAACATGGGCACCCTCATAGATATCATCCTGACTAATTTACCCTCTAAATACACCTCCGCTGTCTTCAACCAGGATCTCAGTGATCATGCCTCATTGCCTGCGTCCGTAATGGGTCCGCGGTCAAACGACCACCCCCTCATCACTGTCAAACGCTCCCTAAAACACTTCAGCGAGCAGGCCTTTCGAATTGACCTGGCCCGGGTATCCTGGATGGATATTGACCCCATTCCGTCAGTAGAGGCTGCCTGGTTGTTCTTCAAAAGTGCTTTCCTCTCCATCTTAAATAAGCATGCCCCATTCAAAAAATTCAGAACTAAGAACAGATATAGCCCCTGGTTCACCCCAGACTTGACTGCCCTTGACCAGCACAAAAACATCCTGTGGCGTACTGCATTAGCATCGAACAGCCCCCGCGATATGCAACTTTTCAGGGATGTCAGGAACCAATATACACAATCAGTTAGGAAAGCAAAGGCTAGCTTTTTCAAACAGAAATTTGCATCCTGTAGCACTAACTCCAAAACGTTTTGGGACACTGTAAAGTCCATGGAGAATAAGAGAACCTCCTCCCAGCTGCCCACTGCACTGAGGCTAGGAAACACTGTCACACCGATAAATCTACGATAATCGAGAATTTTCAATTAGCATTTTGCTACGGCTGGCCATGCTTTCCACCTGGCTGTGCCCCCCCCGCTGCCCCCCCCCCCCTCTTCAAAGGGGGTGACACTTTAGATCCAAACTGTTACAGACCTATATCCATCCTGGCCTGCCTTTCGAAAGTATTTGAAAGCCAAGTTAACAAACAGATCACCGTCCATTTCGAATCCCACCGTACCTTCTCCGCTATGCAATCTGGTTTCCGAGCTGGTCATGGGTGCACTTCAGCCACGCTAAAGGTCCTAAACGATTACTGTGCAGCTGTCTTCATCGACCTGGCCAAGGCATTCGACTCTGTCAATCACCGCATTCTTATTGGCAGACTAAATAGCCTTGGTTTCTCAAATGACTGCCTCGCCTGGTTCACCAACTACTTCTCAGATAGAGTTCAATGTGTCAAATTGGAGGGCCTGTTGTCTGGACCTCTGGCAGTCTCTATGGGGGTGACACAGGGTTCAATTCTCGGGCCGACTCTATTCTCTGTGTATATCAATGATGTCGCTCTTGCTGCTGGTGACTCTCAGATCCACCTCTATGTAGACGACACCATTTTGTATACATCTGGCCCTTCATTGGACACTGTGTTAACAAACCTCCAAACGAGCTTCAATGCCATACAACACTCCTTCCGTAGCCTCCAACTGCTCTTAAATGCTAGTAAAACTAAACGCATGCTCTTCAATCGAACGCTGCTTGCACCCGCCTGCCCGACTAGAATCACTACTCTCGGCGGGTCTGACTTAGAATATGTGGACAACTACAAATACCTAGGTGTCTGGTTAGACTGTAAACTCTCCTTCCAGACTCACATTAAGCATCTCCAATCCAAAGTTAAATCTAGAATCGGCTTCCTATTTCCCAACAAAGCCTCCTTCACTCATGCTGCCAAACATGCCCTCGTAAAACTGACTATCCTACCGATCCTTGACTTCGGCGATGTCATTTACAAAATAGCCTCCAACACTCTACTCAGCAAATTGGATGTAGTCTATCTCAGTGCCATCCGTTTTGTCACCAAAGCCCCATATACTACCCACCATTGTGACCTGTACGCTCTCGTTGGCTGGCCCTCACTACATATTCGTCGCCAAACCCACTGGCTCCAGGTCATCTATAAATCACTGCTAGGCAAATCCCTGCCTTGTCTTAGCTCATTGGTCACCATAGCAACACCCACCCATAGTATGCGCTCCAGCAGGTATATCTCACTGGTCATCCCCAAAGCCAACACCTCCTTTGGCCGCCATTCCTTCCAGTTCTCTGCTGCTAATGACTGGAACGAACTACAAACATCTCTGAAGCTGGAGACTCTTATCTCCCTCACTAACTTTAAGCATCAGTTGTCAGAGCAGCTTACCGATCACTGCACCTGTACACAGCCCATCTGTAATTAGCCCACCAAACTACCTCATCCCCATATTGTTATTTACTTTGCTCATTTGCACCCCAGTATCTCTATTTGCACATCATCTTCTGCACATCTATCATTCCAGTGTTAATACTAAATTGTAATTATTTTGCACTATGGCCTATTTATTGCCTTACCTCCATAACTTACTACATTTGCACACACTGTATATCGATCTTCTTTTGTGTTATTGACTGTATGTTTTGTTTTATCCCATGTGTAACTCTGTGTTGTTGTTGTTTTTATCGCACTGCTTTGCTTTATCTTGGCCAGGTCGCAGTTGTAAATGAGAACTTGTTCTCAACTGGCTTACCTGGTTAAATAAAGGTGAAATAAAAATAAAAAAAGAGGAGAAGGTCTGTCAGTCAGTCAATCAAAGAGGAGGTCTGTCAATCAGTCAATCAAAGAGGAGGTCTGTCAATCAGTCAGTCAGTCAAGCAAGCAAACAATCATCAGAGAATGGAAGATTTATTTATATAAAAATGTGATGATTGATATGATGAAATACGTATGAATATGGATGCTATATGCAGATGCTATCTGTATAGCTCTATGACTTGTACTATATACTGCTGAAATGAAATGGTGTATGACTGTCTCAGGACTCAGACCTAGTAACTGTCTCTCCACTCTCTTCAGGTCCTGGAGGATGGTGGTGATCTCCTGGTTAACAACCACACAACAAACAAAAACATGAAAATTGGTTAGGGAATTGAAGAAGGGATACCCATCACGATAAGACATTGATGTCCTCACCTGTTACCTTCTTTATACAACACCACCACCGACAACAACAACAACAACAGAAAGGTTGTCGGTTCAAATCCCAGGATGGACATATTATCGCCGTTCCCCCCCCCGAAATTGGCACTTGCTTCTGATGTGATGTTTGATACTGTTGTGGAATGTTATACTCTCAGAGACAGCGAAAGACAGGGAGTGAGAGAGTGAATGGGAAGAGAGAGAGAGAGAGAGAGAGAGAGAGAGAGACGGGGTGGGGTGGGGGGAGTCTCAAACCTCATCAATTAAAGTGGATATCAAAATACTTTATTACAATCGAGAGAGAGAGAGAGAGCGAGAGAGAGAGAGAGAGAGAGAGAGCGAGAGAGAGGGAGGGAGAGAGAGAGAGAGGGAGAGAGAGAGAGAGGGAGGGGGAGAGAGAGTGGTAGAGAGAGAGAGAGACTGGGTGGGGTGGGGGGAGTCTCAAACCTCATCAATTAAAGTGGATATCAAAATACTTTATTACAATCACGAAACGTCATAACTTATACTTCCAGAATTGAGAGGAAGTGATGCCAACTCACATTTCAATTAAACAAATGTGACTGTGCAGACCGGGGAAAGGTTTGAGAAACACGTCCGTACCTCACCCCCTTACCACCTTCTGTTTAGGTCTTCCTGCTACATCTGGGTGTTTGTCAGGCTTAACAGACATGATTAATGCAACAGCACAATAAGGCGAGGATGGCCTTTAAACCTACTCCGAGCTACCCAGATGGTGGTAGAACTCATCAAATATTTACCATCCCAAAGTTTTGTTGCATCATCACCCCAAATAAGCACTCTTTGGTTTGTGTTTAGATTTTTACCAGGCATTTCTCTTGCACTATCGAGAGCGTCCTGACCGGTTGCATCACGGCCTGGTACGGGAATTGCTCCGCCCACGACCGCAAGGCCCTCCAGTGGGTGGTGAAGACGGCCCAGTACATCACTGGGACCGTGTTCCCACCCATCCAGGACATCTACTCAAAATGGTGCCTGAGGAAGGCCTGCAGCATCATCAAGGACTCCACACACCCCAGCCACGAGCTGTTCACTCTCCTACCGTTGGGCAGACGTTATTGACGCATGAGGTCTGTATCCCGTACATATGACTAATAAAAACTAGGTCCGCCTGCCCTCTGCAGTCATTTATCACAGCAGCTGGGTGGTACAGCAAGGGAGTGTGAGGTAAGGACAGTAGGGGTCTGGCACCTTACCGTGCTGGAAGTCTTGAGGAGTAGAGAGTCACGCTCGGCTTGGAGTCTATTCTCAATCTCGTCCCATTTCCGGTCCTTATCTTTGAATAATATCCTGGAGAAAAAAGTACACGTTTTCAAAAATAAACTGGAAAAATGTCTGTTATATGAACATGTTGAGTGATTTAATTTGTGTGAAATGGGTTGAGGGGGGAAATGAAAGTGGTTTCTGATGTCTAAAAAGTGAGGATGGGTGTTGCAAGTTGTCATCTTAACCTTTATGAAGTGCCATTCATAATATGCAAATGATGATATTTTCTGGGATACAGTCCATCATATCTTATACAACAATATACACTACTAATTCTTCTTCGTCATTATCCAGATTTGATCTAGTTCTAAGCACAGCAGGTAGCTGCATGTATTTGGAATAAAATTAATTCAAAGTCAAATGCTAGCCTATTATTTCACACTGCTTGTGTTTTTCTTGCAACTCATAAAGCACTCCTAACTCTTCATTGTCGAAATCAGGGAATTTATTATTTCACATTCCTTTTCTTTGAATAAATCGTGATGAAAGGTGATGCCTACCTGATTTTGCCTGCTGTTTTGTCCACAGACTGGCGTACCCGTGCAGAGAGCTGGGTCACAGATGCTAATAGTAAACTGTCCAACACCGCCTGAGAGGAAACAACACGGAAAATAAGAGGTCTTATGTAAGAGGTGTTTCAGTAAACACCAACAATAGCATAATAACTAGGATAGCCAGCGATACCAAGGCTATATGCAGTCAGAAAACCATACGAATATTAGATATACAGCATATTTTTGCCCAAATCTCCCAGAAACTAGCAAATACATCCATCATTAATATACTAATAAATGTGTTATTAACATGGTAAAGATGTGGTTATCAAAATAAACAAACACTCAATGGACAACTCTGCTCTGCCCCTTACACTCAGGCATATGTCTGGTCAGGTTGAAGAGTTCACTGTCTTGGGGAGTGAATGTGATCTATTGTGACATAAAGGGAGCAGAGCCACCTAGTGGATCTCAACGGCACACACACTCTCTTACACACGTTTTCATCAATAATACAGTAGGTTTCTGATGGAATAGGGTCAATTCACCCTGACATCAAGTCCTTTTGGTTTTTTGGCTGTGTTTTGTCTCTCTCTCAAACGACTGTTTTTCAAACTTCTTTATCTCAAACTAGTAATGTTGGCTGGGTGCCAGTCTGCTTGCTTTAGCTCAACTTGTATGCCATTGTCATTATATATATATATATATAATATGCCATTTAGTAGATTATAAACACACATTGGCTAAAGACAAGCTGAAACAGACTGAAAACCAGGCTAAACTAGCGTACAATCAAAGACGTTCAATTATTATTATTTTTTGTTTGGATTCCAAACGGCAACAACTCACATCCTCTCTGTTCCAGGTCTGGCGGCGAATGGCGCGGGGACCCTGTCTGTTAGAGTTGCGTGGCCGGAGCTCCACGGGGCGGACGTTATTACCCAGAATGCTCTCTGTTGACGGGCCACTCCCCAGATCCAAGCCATCGTCAAAAACATGCTCCTCCAACTGGGCAAAGCACCCAATACAAGGTCATTCATTTTCTGATATATATACACTACCAGTAAAAGTTTGGACACACCTACTCATTCAAGGGTTTTTCTTTATTTTTACGATTTTCTACATCGTAGAATAATAGTGAAGACATCAAAACTATGAAATAACACATATGGAATCATGTAGTAAACAAAAAAGTGTTAAACAATGCAGCACTCCATCACTCTCCTTCTTGGTAAAATAGCCCTTACACAGCCTGGAGGTGTGTTGGGTCATTGTCCTGTTGAAAAACAAATGATAGTCCCACTAAGCCCAAACCAGATGGGATGGCGTATCGCTGCAGAATGCTGTGGTAGCCATGCTGGTTAAGTGTGCCGTGAATTCTAAATAAATCACAGATAGTGGCACCAGCAAAGCATCCCCACACCATAACACCTCCTCTTCCATGCTTTATGGTGGGAATCTCACATGCGGAGATCATCCATTCACCCACACCGCGTCTCACAAAGACACGGCGGTTGGAACCAAAAATCTCCAATTTGGACTCCAGACCAAAGGAGAAATGTCTACCAGTCTAATGTCCATTGCTCGTGTTTCTTGGCCCAAGCAGGTCTCTTCTTCTTATTGTAGTGGTTTCTTTGCAGCAATTAGACCATGAAGGCCTCATTCACACAGTACCCTCTGAACAGTTGATGTTGAGATGTGTCTGTTACTTGAACTCTGTAAAGCATTTATTTGGGTTGCAATTTATGAGGCTGGTAACTCTAATGAACTTATCCTCTGCAGCAGAGGTAAGTCTGGGTCTTCCATTCCTGTGGCCATCCTCATGAGAGCCAGTTTCATCATAGCGCTTGATGGTTTTTGCGACTGCACTTGAAGAAACTTTCAAAATTCTTGAGATTTTCCATATTGACTGACCTTCATGTCTTAAAGTAATGATGGAATGTCGTTTCTCTTTGCTTATTTGAGCTGTTCTTGCCATAATATGGACTTGGTCTTTTACCAAATAGGGCTATCTTCTGTATACCCCCCTACCTTGTCACAACACAACTGACTGGCTCAAACGCATTAAGAAGGAAAGAAATTACACAAATTAACTTTTAAGAAGGCACACCTGTGAATTGAAATGCATTCCAGGTGACTACCTCATGAAGCTGGTTGAGAGAATGCCAAGAGTGTGCAAAGCTGTCATCAAGGCAAAGGGTGGCTATTTGAAGAATCTCAAATATAAAATATATTTAGATTTGTTTAACACTTTTTTGGTTACTACATGATTCCATATGTGTTATTTCATAGTTTCAATGTCTTCGCTATTATTCTACAATGTAGAAAATAGTTTAAAAAAAAGAAAAACCTTGGAATGAGTAGGTGTGTCCAAACAGTTGACTGGTACTGTATATATATATATATATATATATATATATATATATATATATATATATCCACAATATTCACAAGGAGCAGGATTCAGGGCCCATATTCATATAGCGTCTGATAGGAGTACAGATCTAGGCTCAGTTTTTAGAATTGAGATCATATTGAATAGACAGGCGGGACCTGTTCCTAGATCAGCACTCCTACTCTGAGACACTTGATGAATATGGGCCCTGATATGTACATGTAGCTCAGACTTTTGGGGAAATCATGACTGATGTCAACGGCTACATAGAGTGGGAGTATTGCATCGTGGGATGTGTAGTACCATGGCTCCTGGGTCAGTGGCAGCACTAGCGGCTGGGCTGACTGAGTCGATTTCTCCGGCCACGTCATGGATCTCCCTGGCCAACATGGCCAGGTCTTTGGCTAGGTCCTGACTGATCCTGTCAACATACAGGGAACGAATCAGTTAAATACCCTTGATTTGACTTGTATAGTGTATTATTGTGTATATAGTGCATCAAATCAAATAATTAATGTTGCAAAATGGATACTTTCGAGGTTATACTGGTTCTCAAAGTCATTTGCTCCTCTATAGAATTAACCCTATTATATTCAGTAGATGTGTGTACTATTTTGCGCTACAGTAGTTAGGCATGACTGGAAGCCAGTGTGAATACAGTATCTCTGTATGTGTACAGTACAGCCTGCTCCTCCATACCTGGCAATCTCTTCACTGTGAGCGGTCCAGTCCTTCATGTACTCCTCCTGTTCTCTGCCTGCTGACTGCTGCCTCAGAGCTGCTATACCCCCCGGACTGGGTGTGGCAGGGGCGGAGCCACCCAGCTGGGTCAGCCGCGGCGAAGCAAACTGCCGGGCGGGACCGCCGTGCTTGGACGGGTGGCGGTTGGAGCCGAACTCGTCCTCAGAGGTGGAGGCGTAGTCCATGGGCATCCGGCGCCACTGGCCACCAGCTGGAGTCAAGAGAAGATGTTTTGTCAGTAGTAGTAGTAGTGATATAGGTCTTTACCACTAGTAGATACACACAACTGTCCATAGAGAAGAGATTTTACTCATATAAATGTACATAAAGATGCTCAATAATGACAGAACCTACAAAAAGACTATAGCACAAACATAATACAAAATCAAACATTGCAGTGGACAAGTTACTAGAGAACAGTCACTCAGAAACACTACCTCTGTATCAGACAGTACAGTATGTTACCTGTGGGGGTGATGTAGCCCTTAGACTTGTCAGGTAGTTTGGAGGCGCTGTTAGCCCTGGCCCTTTGTACTACCCCTCCCGTGTTGCTGACTCCTCTCAGTCCCTGTCGGATGGCGTAGTCGGTAGCAACGCTACGAGCCCCTATCCCCCGGCTCCGGCCACCCGTGGCCTCTGAGTCACTCTGGGCAGACGGAGATCCCATCCTGGGCCTCCTGGGCTGGGCCAGGGCCTCAATGCGGGACAGGCCCCTCCGGAACCCTGGTCCAGGAGCCGTGGACCTGGAGCTAGTGGTGCTAGCCTCGGACGCTACGGACATCCGGTCCATGTCGGCTGGTTCGGTATCGGAGGAGTCCCCCAAACGGGCACGTCTGAGTATCGAGGCCCGGGTGGGCCGCACCTTGGGCAAGGTGGTGGTAGGTTTACTGAGGGTGGTTGTGGTGGTGCTGGATGCCTGGGTGTTTTTAGCCCGGCTAGCCTTGGTGCTAGCCTCCACTCTGGCGCTTCCGGTCTGGGTTCTGGCGTGGGAACTGTGGGAGCTAACCTCCTGTATGGACGGTTGGGAGTCGGAGAGGAGGGAGTTGGAGTTGACGTCGTCATCTGTTAGATCCAGGGAGGTCCAGGCACGACCAGCCTGGCGGGTCCCTTGCCCTCCAGACGGTCTGGATTTGGGTTTCCTATCCTGGGAATCTCTGGCTCTGGTAGGCCCCTTGGTGGAGGAACACAGCACCGTCTTCTCCCTCTCTTTCTGCTGGGCTGTTAGGGTACGTCTCTTCTGGTGGACCACCTTCCGCCCTCCGACGCCCGCTGCCTGGCTAACGGTGCTGGTGGTGTCCACGTCCGACTCGGGCGACAATGACCCCTCGATGGACTGGCTAATTGGTTCACCAAGGTCTGATACCGTCGTCTCCAGAAACGCAGCCACCGCCTCTGAGTCCTTCTGCAGGGTGGTACTATCCACCCTACCCTCCTTTGTCAGTATTCGTGCCCCAGTTTGTGAGTCAATCCGTGGGATGAGCTCCTGGGGGACATTGGCGCTTGGTCTCTCCACCGTAAAGCTCTCTTGTCTAAGAAGTGGCTTCCCAGCGCTCTCCCTTTCTTTAGCCTTCTCCTCCATCTCCTTCTTCCTCCTCCGTGCCTCCTCGAGTCTCTTCCCTCCGCTACTCACTGGCCGAGGAGGCAGTTTCGCCGACACAGTTTCTTTCCGGCTTCCCGCATCTTGGTTCTTCGCTGGAGAGCCTCTTTTCGGACTTCCTCTGGTGCTTCCACCCACACTACCTGCCTGGCTACCCCCACCACCTCCACAAGGCTTGGTCCTCCCTCCTCTCCCCATCTCCTGGTTCTCCTTTTCCTGGAGCTCAGTGTCCTGTTTCTCCCCCACGTCAGAGGGGCGGAGAGCTGGACCAGGGGATCTCCTCCCCCCTGGGGTTTCCTCCTCGGTGGAGGGGAGCTGGGGCAGGGTTCTCCTCTTGCGCTCTGTATAGCTGGAGGAGGCCATGGAGGCAGAGTGACTGGACTCACTGATCTCAGCTATAGGGAGACAGGGTATAAAAAAATAATTTCTACACTATAATATCTACTGTATGTAACTAACTCTCATATATTGACAATATAATTACCCAACGCTCTTTTCTTTATTCTAGTTACTTTTGTCTTTATACTGAAGTAAGTGGTATGACTAATACATAAATACAACAACAACTGAAAAACAGCAAAGCACTTCAATTTCAGAACAAGTCTAAACCCAGCAGTAGTACCTCTGTCCTCAGTGTGGTAGTGGACGTGGGACTCAGCTCCAGAGCCCTCAGGGTCTGTCCTGATGTGGCTGGCTGCCAGAGTAGCCCACTGAGAGACCCACCTGGGACCACCCACCACCAGCTCTTCTGCGAGAGACTAGAGGACAAACAGGGGAGAAGCCTCATTACACAACCCCCAGTCACCAACATACAGGGGACAGACTGGAGGAAAGGGAAGACAAGGACAAACTCTACTAGTCAGAGTGTCACAGTGGCATGTACACATCTATTATTTACAGGTAAAACGCTTCGGACTACTTCAAATAATAAATATAGCAAAGTTATAGTTAGTGTCTGTGAACTCCTTCAGTCCTCTGCAATGGAGAGTCTGTGTAGACAGACAGAAATGCTGTTACCTCTGGTTCGATACGTCCAGGCTTGCCTCTGTCTCCTGAGCCTGGTCTCTGAGTGGCCAGTCTATCTCTCTGGACGTCAGGATAGCCCCCCACCCTGGACAGAGCCTGGTAGTCCTCCACACCAAATACCTGGACCAGAACATGGACATAAATAAACATTCAACCAAACATTCAACCATGAGGTCAAAATAATGTGGGCTTAGTGCACAATACCACTTGCAGTAAGAAAGAAGCCATAACAATGACGAAAAGACACAAATTATGGGACTCATGTCTGTGTAAAATAGTTATTCAGATGAAACAGGATTCAAATGACAGTTTAAGCTCATTAAAGTCCTATTGACCATCCCACCTTGTCAATCATCCTCCTGGCCTCCTCCTCTTGGTTATCTTCGTTCTCTATCTCTATGGTATAGGTCCCCCGGTCGCTATAGTCGTCTCCTTGGCGATTATGGAACCCCTCCCCAAGTCCTATCGGTTGGTGTTGGTCGCGGTGGTACGGAACCGAATCCTTGGTCCTCTCTCTCTCTCCTAACTCTCCTCCGATGGGTGCCATTTTGGAAGCTGAGGACCTGTGTCGTCGGGAGGGGCTGTCTTCCTCGGCAAAGAGTCCCTCTGGGACGTTGGCGCGCCCCTCTCGGATCTTGACCCCTGACCCTTCTAGTCGGCCGCCCCACAGCACCCTGGAGTGGTCCTCGAGGGCGGCCCGGCGTTGCTCTCCCAGCGCGGCTGTGTTCTCTGAGTCGCTCTGGGTGCCGTCCTCGTGTTTACTACCTGAAACGAGAGAGAAGGGTGTTGGAAGTTTGGTGTGTGCCGTTATAATGCTATGAACCCATTGGGTTGGTTTCCCAGACACCGATTAAGCATAGTCCTAGACTATGAAGCACTTTCGATGGAGATTATCCATTGAGCATGCTTTTTAATTAAGGACTAAGCTTAATCTGTGTTTGGGAAACTGGCCCATAGTGTAATAACTGTGTAGTGCTATGTAATGCAATGGCAAGAGGACTAGCTGACAGAAAAATAATGCATATATGATCAAAATTCTATTCTCATGGTGATTGGTTGGTTGGTCGTACCTTTAAGACTCCTCAGCTGAACCGGCACATCACTCTTCACGCTCTCCCCGTCGTCCTCCACCACTCTGTCAACCGACTCCGTACGGGCCAATGGGATCTCGTTCTGGGCCAACCAATCAGCTACTTTCACCTCCGCCGCCACCATGGCCGTCTGCAGGGCGCTCAGCTCCTCTCCCGCGCCCTTCTTAGGGGGCCGTGGCCTCACCTCCGGCGCCACCTTCGCCACCCGGTCCTTAACAGTCACCTTATTGGACGCCTGCAGGTCAAACTCAATGGTGAAGGAGGCGTGGCCCTGGGGGCCGGCTTCAGGGCCGGAGGCGGGGTTAGCGGCGGTGGCGCCTTCCGTGTCTTGGGAGGGGGGTTTGTTGGTATAGGAGGGGATCTCGAAGTAACTGGGCTCCTGGCTTGAGGTGTACAGGCCATTCTCCTGGGCCTCTGCTGTTGTCTCCTTGGGTTCTTTACCATCTGTCGTTTCAAGCAGATATCAAGATGGCGTAATATAAGGACTTAGACTTTGAGATTCAATTGTTGTCATATATGCTACCAGAAAGGCAAAAGTCTATTGTTATCTGGTAGGGTTTTTGATGTATAAACAGGCAGACAGACAGACAGACAGACAGACACAGGCAGACAGACAGACAAAGTGAAACACAGCTAACTTCAGTCTGTATTCCAGGCTAGACAGCATCTACCTGACTCAGATCTCTCCTGCTTCCTGTCAGTTGTCGTCCCGTCCTGCTTCCCAGAGTTCTCATCGTCTGCGTCCCCGTCCCCCCACCAGGAAGGCTGGCCGTACAGAGGGGTGCCCCTTTTTAGTACTGCAATGTCCCCTGGGAAAGAAACGACACCATCCACAAGGTCAGTGAGAAAGACAGGGATTTTGTTTTGAAATGGAATGTTGTTCCCACACAGTTCTCCAAAAGACTATTGTGACAGAACAAGTCTGACCTCCTAGTTTGTCTCCCGAGTGGACCAGCGGTCTAAGACACTGCATCTCAGTGCTTGAGGCGTCACTACAGACCCCCTGGTTCGATTCCAGGCTGTATCACAACCGGCCGTGATTGGGAGTCCCATAGGGACAATTGGCCCAGCGTCGTCCGGGTTTGGCCGGTGTAGGCCGTCATTGTAAATAAGAATTTGTTCTTAACTGACTTGCCTAGTTAAATAAAGGTTAAAAAAAAAAAAAATTGGCCCCTGAGAAACAAAAAAACACCTCTGCAAACTCGAACTAGCACTTTGTACCCACACAAGTCCCCAAAATACATATTGTGGCAGAACAGTTTGACCTCCAAATTTGTCTACAAGTCAGAGCACTTTAGAATCGCATTTAGGTGACAGCCTAGCGTAGGAACCTAAAAATACAGGACACACGGTTGTCACAGCACAGACTGTGTGGGTGTGTGGCATTGCCAAAATCCTGTCACCTCTGTTAACCAGTCCTGTCACCTCTGTTATCCAGTCCTGTCATCTCTGTTATCCAGTCCTGTCACCTCTGTTATCCAGTCCAGTCACCTCTGTTAACCTAATCCTGTCACCTGTGTCACCCTCCAAGGTCCATGCAGAGTGCAGACCCTCTCACCTGTCAGCTTGTCATCCCCGGTCCCCTCTCTGCTGGTCTCAGTCGGTTTTCCACCCACTGCCACCGCACCCTCGGAGCCACCCTCGGCTGCAGCCTTGACCTCTACTGCAGGTCTGGATGGTACTGAAATAGCTTCTGGAGGCTTTACCGTCTGCAGCTGGAGCTGACTATTGAACTTCTCATGCTGATAGACGAGGACACAGGACAACACAGAGAGGAGTTGAGCTCACACAATTAGAGGTAGCCATACCTAAGGGTACGTTTAATAAGGAGCTTTTCTATGTATGCACCAACATACATGGCACAATCTATCCTTCCATCAGTGAAATTATACAGTAGTCATAGACTTGGTTATAAGCATTTTAACTTGTTACTTGTTACTTGAGATCTGTGCTTGACATCAGTTCATGATTCATGCCAAATCTGAGTAAGTTATGCATGTAGAACTCAAGTTAGGATTCAGACGGACCTAACTGAACAATGTACCTCCAAGTGAGAAACAAGTTCCTCATAAAGTATGTTTTTGTCATTCGAACAAAGCAGTGAGGTTTTGCTACATCCAGCAGAAACCGCCGCCATTCTTGACGGAACATAATCTCCATTAAACATGCATCAACCAATGTTGCAGAAAAAGCCATTTCTCAGAGCTTTTCTGTCATACTACTTTGTAAGCATATTTTACTGGGGCTCTTTCTCAATTCATATTTCCTTGATTCCTCGCATCCTCTCTTCTCGCCTCCTTCTCAAAATGCATTCGAGAAGAAGGTCCGAGGGGAGGGATCTTGGAACCTCTCCTCCAATTCGGTTGAGAAAAAGGCAAGGAGATAGGATGGGAAGAAACACAGAAAGCTATTTCTTTAGCATACTGTCCAACCAACCTTTAGTGCTTCCTCGGGAACATGGAGCTCTCCTCGCACCACAGTGAACAGGTTGGTATGTGAGACAGGTTAAGGAAAGGAGATTGTACAGTAGAAGCTTAGCTCTTTACAGGAGATAGCACAGATATTTTACATTTTAGTAATTTAGCGGCATACAGTCTTATTCAGAGCGGCTTACAGTCAAGAAACAGATATGCGAATCTATTATGCATTAGTCACAGCAGTAAGTTTTAAAGGTTAGATGATTTTTCAGGCAGCATATTAATAGTGATTACTTTACAGTTTTATATACCCGTACTCTGGTCTTGAACTCCTTTTTTTGTAGGTCTCATTCATTATGTATTGATGAAGTTTCAATGAATTACTGTAGGCTAAGCTTCAAAGACAAAATGTCACCATGACAGGATATCATATCCAAACCTCAACTTGTCGTCAATTTTCAAAGTGATATACACCTGCTCCTGTATTCTGACATCATTCACAAATGTCTGGAAGGAAAGGAATATCATTGTTAGCAGTTTATAACAGTTTATGAAACACATTAATCATTTCATAATCATATTTATCAAAAATCTTACTCACCCCATTCAGGCTTCCCAGGTCCTTGACTTTATGTTCGTCCGTGGTTGGCTCATAGTTGATAACTGCATGTTGTTTGTCCACACTGCGTGACTAAAGCCACAATAATCCAGATTACACAGATTACATTCTGTCCAACAGTCACCTGTAGCAGTGTGACCCACCAGGGTCGAACCCAGATCTTTTGACAAGACTGTGTAAGCCCGCCGAGCTAAAGCCTAGAGATCAGCTCGGGGAGCTAACACACATCTTCAGGTTTCAGGCAAGGTTACACATCACGCCAGAGTGATTCATCGAACCACCTCCATAACATTAGCAGTGGTAGTACGGTCTAGGCTGTGCTAGAACTGCATTCACATCTGTATTTATACTATAGCAAACCTAGTACCACGCCTAGCGACCTCGTCAAGAGGTTCGGATCTCTTGCCATAACAGCTACAGTGTTGGACTGACATTCTCAAGTACCCGGGTTCGAGTTCTAGACTCGCTACAATACTAAATATGATTTACCTGTAACATGAGTTCACAGTCGTCTCGACCAACGAAGATCATCTCCCAGGGGAGGCGGTGTCTCATGCCCCCGCCACTCACCAGGAACCAGGAAGAGACACTCATCTCTGCCACGCCCACTGCCACACCTGCTCACCTCTAACCCCTATGACACCCTGTGTAAGGAGACAGGGGCTCTACTCAATCTGTATTGCGGAAGTTCAACGTTACAGCGTGATTGAAATTTAAAGGCAATGTTCCCGCGTTAGCGGAGACTGCATTCACAGTAAACGCTACATATCTCGACTCAATAGGACATTACCTTTACATTTCTATCACGCAATCTGTAACGCTTCACCAATACAGATTGAATAGAGCCCTAGGTCAGTATCAGTTAGTTAGAACAACCAGTCATAACAACCACCTGTAAATGGAGGTAACACAATAATTACACATTCATTACCCTTTTTATTAAAGCATTTTATATGGTTGCTCACAATGTAAAGAGCTTTGTGATTTTTGTCTGGAAATGAAAAGCGCTCTACCAATGAAATGTAGGCCTATTATTATAATGTATTATTGTCACAACATTCTAACTATTTTCAACAAAGTTGAATGAAGAGAATGGATAATACACTAAAAACAGACAGGAATAAACTTAACAACTTTCTCACACCTAAACTCAACAAAGAGTTTACTTTAAACTAAATGTCCAGCACACTGACCTGCTGGTAGGACTGGACCTTGTTGCTAACAATAAGGCATTAGAATAGACCACATCGCAACCATTCCAGAAGAAATGAGATAATATGTTACTGACTGTTGGACATCCTGCTTAACGGCCAAATTGAATTACTGAGTGTCGCCGGGTCACCAAACCAATGTCACACTGAACCAATGTCACTGAACTGAGAGTGGCCATTCAGTGATGATGGATATATTGTATTACTGCAGGCTATAATACAGGCTACCATACAGGATCTAAACAATGCTGAAACTGTAGGATAGATGATCAGATGGCTAGATAGACCAGACAGACAACCTAAAAGGCATGAAGATACTGTATCACATGAGTATGACAGGACAGGCACAGAGATCAAAGCAGGCAGACAGTGCAAGAGAGAGATGGAGAGATGGACACACACACACACACACACACACACACACACACACACTGACAGAGTCATCTCGTTTCCGCTCAGAAGCAACATACCATCTGGTGCTCATTTTGTAGTCATAATTCCTATATATAGGCCTACAGTAGCCTACATAAAAACACACTATGACTGTATGGCCTAGCTAGCCTACCATTCAGTTTGCAGTGACACAGGCCTCCATAGGCAATGCTTGAAGGGGTATGCTACTGGTAGGCCATGCTGACTCACGATGCCCCATCAGTGAACCAGTGAATTAGCGAGATTTAATCTAATCAGGCACCTTGTCATATCTAAGCCCCGAATGAGAGTAGATGGTTCATTGAATGCGACCCGACAGTCCTGATTCCCCATTGTGAAATTGGATTGGTTAACCCTCTATGCGGCCTCGGTCTCGCAATTGTGCCCCACATTTTTACATTGGTTTCGTTGCTCTCTCTCTCGCTCTCTCTCCCTCCTTCTATTAATTACATAGCTCTATCTTAAATGACAGCTCATCATTTCTCTCTGCAAGCTACTGTAGATGGCCCATTCCTGCCTGAGCATAAAAAACAACCAACCCTGCGTTAGCGACCGTTCAGTTCTTTATTATAGGCATGCCGAAATAATATTTACCATGTGTCCAATAATCTATTTTTATTTTTTTACATAGGCTATTTTGGAAGTGAACATGAAATGCTAGACACCATATTGATGTATGGCAACTGATGCTGCTGTATTTGAGTCTGGTCGGTAACCTTTTGCGGTTGAAAGCTTATAGCACATCTTTATCATAATCGATAGCCTACATATGTGGTATTACGCGTGCCATTTTGGGCAACGCATAACACTGAATTACACATATAGGCTAATTTGAAAGGCTTACAAGAATAACCCATCATGTGTTGTTTAGGTCGCCAATTTCATGTGCTGTCTGGGCTGTACCGTTATATGGACGACATAGCCTGCTACCGTCGGACACAAATAGCCTAGAATGTTCATTTTGCGGCCCTTTTTTCTTTATGGCAGGTCGCGGACAAATACATTGTCTGGGGTGTGGTCAGATACGGCGGAGTAATAAAACATGCATCTCACTCACCCTTTGTCAGGTACGGAGTATTCAGCATCCGATTTGTATCCTGTAAATCTTTCGATGCACGGTGCGGTGACATACAGTGAGGGAGCCTGCTGTCTGCCCAGCCCTGGTCCTCGAGCGCTTCTCTTTCTTCGCCTCGAGGTGGCGCTGCGCTGATGTACAATACAGCAAGCCAAGAAGGCAAAGGCAGTCCATCCCCATTGATGCAACGCAATGACAACAACGGCGCAATGAGCGCATCTTCTTGCGTATGACGTTGAGATGTAAACTGTAGGCCAGTGGTTTCCAACCCTTTTCGGTTACTGTACCACCAACTTAGCTTTGCTCTGCCTAGAGTACACCTGAAGTACCCCCTCATGTGCACTTGACCACGAAGCCTATGGTCTCATGAGTCTTCTCAAGTACCCCCTGTGGTACCGCCAGGGTCCTATTACCCCTGGTTGGGAACCATAGCTGTAGGCTACTGAGTTCTTTAAGGTTGGTCAATATTTTCCATGGAATATGATCCATTTGTTTTGATATAGCCAGATTCAGCTAATTCGTGATGGTTGCGGTAAACATAAATGTTGTTTATCTATTTATGTTGGAGGCTACTGCATGTGTTTGACAAAAGTATCACTGTCACATCATGTGGTCTGTTATGGGTGTAATGACAATTGTATTAGTATGCTACTGGAATTAGTCCTCAAATTTTGAGCATGTGGAAAATAGTAATTATTTGTTAGATTGCATCACCTTACCTATCATCCTATGAAAATAAACGTTATGGACTGTAGGACTTCACTTTCACTTGATAATAATAGGCTACCATCTCAATAATCTCTCATGTACAGATTTTAGTTCTGGAATTCCAAGATTATTAATATGATTTTTATTTTATTTTTTATGCCAGCCCCTGTCCCCACAGGAGGCCTTTTGCCTTTTGGTAGGCGTCATTGTAAATAAGAATTTGTTCTTAACTGACTTGCCTAGTTAAATAAAGGTAAAATAAAAAATTAAAATAACTTAATAAATGACATCTGTTCATTTTAGGTTATAACCAGCAGAGGGCACCAGACCTCTATGTTTGACAGTGAACCCATGAGCATGGTTCACTGCCGTGGTGGGTGACTGCCAGGTACCAGTACGGTGTGTGTGTGTCTGCCAGGAACCAGTAGTCAGGGCTAACATTGCTGCCAGCAGACTCTCACCCCCTCCTCTCTTCTACTTCCTCAATGGAGTTGTCAGTGCTGAAAGATGCTTCTGGTCGACTGTGTGAATCGGAATCTGATAGTGAAGCCAAGAGCAACTGAACCGTGATGTACTTGTTATGTATTATGTCATGTTTCATGTTCTGTGTGGACCCCGGGAAGAGTAGCTGCTGCTATCGCAACAGCCAATGGGGATCCTAATAAAATACCTATACCAAGCTTCTTATTATGACCGTCTTACAGTCCTGATAGGTAGACAGACATACAGATAAGACACGTGACCCGCCTCAGCCTGCTTTTACTGTAACCAGTCAGCTCCGGGGTGAAGTTGCTCCGCGGTCACAGGTGACTGTCATGTTTAATAATAATTATCACCACGCACCTGCACCCCCACACTAATTAACTGGCGCATATGCAAATAGGGCAGGAGAAAGGAGTGCACAGCGAAGGCCCAATGGAGAACAGCTAGCTTGTTCAGCTGCAGGACTTGACTAGGATAACGAACAGTCAGGCAGGGCCAGCGAGGAGAGGTGGATGATAGGAGAAGAGTGGGATAAAGAAGGAGGGGGAGACGGGGAGAGAGTGGGAGGAAGAGGAGTGATCACCAGGGAAACCGTGATAAGAGCAGTGGTCTGTGTGTGTGTGTGCGCGTGCCCGCGTGCGTGTGTACGCAAATTCATGCGTGTGTGTTTGTGTTGGACTGGCATCTGGTGGTAGTGGCCACATAACATGAGACATAACACAAGGTTGCAGTATTGGTGCAACCATAGAACATGTGATCATCAAAGTTAGCATTACTATCACTATGTCTCACCTCAGCAGGTGGACATGAAAGAAACTGACAAACAAGCCAGTAGATCTGAACATTTTAATATTTTTCTGTTGTGGTTTTCAATATTTTTATGCCCTATATTGGACGCTGACTTTCATTTAAAAAAAAAATAGAATCCCTAAAGGAATTTGCATGGCAATTCAGAGAAAGCTTTGAATTCATTGTCATTCATCCCATTCTAAACACAAATTCAAAGCAATTCAGAGAGACCTTTCTTCCTCGTACATTGAGCGTTGGTCTGAAGAGCATTGAATTAATTCTCATGCATCACATTCTAAACACGAGTCGCCATAGTCCGCATGGTGAGCTCGTCTGGGCATACCTCTGGAACAAAGCAAATTACAGTTCAGTAAACTCCACGCCCCCAATCTCAGCACACAGAGGCAGCTAGCCGCCACACAGGTAAGGGGTGAATTAGGGTTTCGCTCCTGGTTTTACATTTAAATTTAGCCCCAGGCTTCAGTCCTATTAGAGCACCCTAATCCAAAGCCTGGTCAGTGGGTTCCCTCTCTCTCTCTCTCTCTCTCTCTCTCTCTCTCTCTCTCTCTCTCTCTCTCTCTCTCTCTCTCTCTCTCTCTCTCTCTCTCTCTCTCTCTATCTCCCTCCATCTCTCTCTCTCTCTCCCTCTCCACAATGTTGTCGGAACGAGGGACCCATCCAGACTCATTACGGGCCATTATATTCCTATTATGTTTAATATGTGATAGGAACACATCTTATTGTCCGTAAATGGCCCAACGTGTTGTAGTGCAGTGCTGTGGTGTTACCAGATGTTTCAAGAGCACAGAGCAGGACAACATAGTGGAATTGCAACAGGGATTGTCTCGGTTGGTGTGTGGAATGAATAAACCGATGCACTGAGCCTTGTGTGTGTG